ATTAATAATAGGGTAGAGTAAAAATATATTAAATATAAGATAAATTCTTATATTTTTAAGTAGTTTAAATTTATAAGTATATAGGCTAATAATCTTCTTAATATAATATAGCCTAAAGTTCTTTTAATCTAATTTTTTTTATAGGTAGAGTATTTAAATATTATAAGTATCTAGCTAGACTTCTTACTTTATAATATAGTAATATATAAATTATCTTTAATAATTAACTTATACTTTATAATAAACTTAAATAAATAAAATTTTAATATAAATAAACTTATAAATCTTATATATAATATTAATAAACTTCTTAATATTTTTCTTAATAAGATAGATAGTAAGGTAGCTTAATTTAAACCCTAATATTAGGTAAAATCTATAATTAGCTATAAATAATAATACTCTTATAAACTTAGAATAGATAGAGTTAATAGTAAACTTAGCTATTAATAGCTATTTAGACTAATTATCTTATAAATATAATATATATACTTATAAGTATTATTCTAAAATAGTATTAGTATATTTAATTTAATTATTAATCTTAGAATAATAAATAATAAATAATAAATTATAGATTTTTAAGCAGGATATTAAGTATTTTTAAAAAATAATAATAAATTAGACTTTATAATCTAATATAATTATTTTAGGGATATTATAGAGTTTTTAAATATACTTAAAGAATAGATTAGCTACCCCTTTAGTATTAATTATTCTAATATAAGGAAGGAAGTACTTTATCTTTATTAAATAATTAATTATAATTAGAATAGTATTATAACTATTACTTAATAATAAGTATATAATAAAGTCTATACTTATATCTTATTAGGTATATTTAAAAATTAATAAAGATCTTAATATTCCTTACTTTACTTTTTAAGAAGGAATAATTTAGTAATAGAAATAATAATTCTAGATTTATTAATTAATATACTTATAAATTCTAGGTTAGAAATATTTATATAATATTAATTTATATATTTTAATTTTTCTAAAATATTTAATAGCAGGATTTTTATAATAGAGTCTTAGTATTTTAGCTTTTATCTTATTATAATTAGGCATATAAAGTTAGTTTTAGTATCTTAAATATAGACTAATATATCTATAATTAGCTAGTATAATATTAAGATATCTTAATAGATTATTCTTTAAAATATTTAAAATAAACTAGAACTTCTTATCTTATAAATAAGCTTTATTAAATAGTAGTTATAATATTAGTAGTAGGGAGATTAATTTATTAATAATAAGTTATTTAGTAAAGTATACTTAATATTAGCTATTAGTATTTAGTTTTAGATTAGTAATAGTCTTAAGTAGCAGGTTTTTAGATTTTAGGATAGTCTAGCTCTAGTAAAGGAGTTATTTATTCTCCTCCTTAGATAGGTCCTCTAATCTTCTAGTTAGTATATTAGGCTTAGTATCTAACTTCCTGGGGTAGTAATATATTTAGAAGTTAAATTTTAATAGAAATTTAGACTAGCAGGCTTATTAATAATTTAATAGCTTAATTAATATAAAATATTTTAAATTCTAGTAATCTATAATAATCTTTATAGGTAATAAAGTTCTTTTTAATTTAAAGTACTATTTTTTAAAGTAGTAAATAATAATTAATAATTTTTTATTATAAATCTTATAATTATATTTTATTATAAAATATTTCTTAGAAAAAAATATAATAAGATATAATATATTTTTATTATTATATTATAATAGTACTCTAGTAAATATATAATTAAAAATATTAATTTCTAGAATTATATTTTTTAACTAGTTAAAAAGTTTTAGTATTAGGGTATTTATAAAAGTAGCTTTTAATTATTTAAATATTTTTTAGTAAGTAAGTATCTAATTAAAATTAATATTTTTTTTAATTAGATTAACTAATAATTTAATAATTTTTAAAAAATTATAAATAAATTAATAATAAAAGTTCCTAAAGCTAATAAAGACTTAAATATTAATTAGATAGGTTAATATTTCTTACTTAATAATTATTTTTACTTTATTAAAATTTATTTAAAAGCTATTTCTATCTATAATTAATTTTAGGAACTTTATCTCATGTATAAAGAATTTATATTTATTAAATTTAATATAAAGTCTTACTACTTATAAGTATTCTAATATTTATTAGATATAATAAGTATATTTAGTATAAGTTTAGTTATAAATTAGAATATTATCTAGATATATAATATAGAAGATATCTAAATAATTATATAGGACTTTATTAATAAATCTCTAGAATAATACTAGGGCTCTAGTAAGCCTAAATAATATTATTAAGGATTTAAACAGGCTTAATTAAATTTAAAAGGTAATAAGATATTCTTGTCCTTTCTTAATTTATAGATTATTAAAAATAGAAATAATATTAATTTTTAAGAAATATTTTATCTCTTTTAAATTATTTAGTATTTCTTTTATTAGTAATAGTAAATAATAATCTTTTATAATAATTATATTTAGAGCTTAATAATCTATATAGAATTATAGGCCTCCTTTAGGTTTTTTTATAAATAAGATAGGGAATATAGTAAAAAAGAAATTAGAGTAAATAAAATCTTTTTTTAAATTTTTTTTAATCTATTCCTTTAAAACTTTTAATTTATCTTAAGACATGCTATATAAACTCCTAAAAAATAGGATTTTTCTAGATAGTAGTTTAATCTTATAATTATTAAGTTAGTAGAATAGTAAGTACTTAGCCTTCTTTAATAAGAATATATTATAGAACTTAGTAAACTTAAGGAATAGTTATTCTTATAACTTAGATTTAATAATAATAATAGGGTTTAAAGTAGCTTTAATATTAATAATAATAATAGTAAATATCTAATATCTATAGCAGGTATATATAGTATAGGTAGTAATTAAGATTTTAATAATATCTTAATTTTTTAGAAATTTAGGGCAGGAATTAAGATATTAGGAAGAAGCTTTTAATAATATATTATATAATACTAAAATTTTTATAAACTTTAGAAATATATTATAGTATTTTCTATAATAAGGGCTTTTAAATAAAATAGTATAATTAATAAATTTAATCTAGGGATTATAGATCTTTAATTAAAGTAAGTTAAGAATAATAGGAAAGTATATAAGTTAAATTATAAGAAAAGTAGTATTTTTTTTAATATAATTATAAATTTTTTAAATTAAATAAATAAAATAAATAATATTACTAGACTTTACTAAAGTATTATTAAATCCTCTTAATAAGATAGGATTCTTTAATAGTAGTATCTTTAATTAATTATTTATAATTTAATTATAGTCTATAAAATATTTATTCTTAATTCTAAAGTTAATTATAATAAAGATTAGTAAAGTCTTATTAGGAGTCTCTAGATTAATAGATAAGATTATTAATTTAGATTAATAATTTTTCTTCTTTATTATTATTCTAGTTATTACAGCCTTTAATAGGTAAAGAGAGTATTAGGGATATCCCTAATTATAGCTTAGGTTAGAGATACTCTATTTTTTAATTTAGGGAATATAGAGTGTTTAGTAGGTAGGATTCTAGTTAATAGGGGGTATAGGTCTAGTTTAGTAGTAGATATAGAAATATAGCTAGTTAGTCTTTAGTTAGGGTATAAATAGCTACTTACTAGGTAGTTAGTACTACTATAGTAGTAATATAGATATTAGATTTAATAATTAAGGTAATAGATAATAAATAAGTCTATTAGATTTTTAGTAGGAGTAGTAATAATAATAGGATTAATAAAGATTATAGGAATTTAGGTAGCAGGAGTTAGCTTTAAAATAGATTAGGAAGACTAGGAATTCTTTATAAATAGGGATAGAATAGTACTTATATAATAATAGTAGTAATTTTCTAGATTTTATAAATAATTAATAAAGTTATAATATTATAATAAGGTCTTAAAGTATATTAATATTTTTTAAAGTTTTTAATTAATAGCCTATTCTAGAATTATAAATAAAATATCTTTATTTATATTTTCTTCTAATATAAGATATTAAAATTTAATAAAAAAAATACTAAATTTATAATAAATTTATTAAAGATAGAATAAATTAATATAAATATTAATTTTTAAATTTAGGTTTCTAAAAGCTTTTTCTAGAATTTCTAAAATCTTAATATAATTACTTAATTTATAGATTTTATTTTAAATATATAATAAGATTTAGGTATATAAGATTTTTTTAAAATAACTAGTTATATAAGCTATTTTACTATTTAGAATTAGAAAATAATTAAAATTTATAGTTATTTTCTAGTAGATTTAAGAAATAAAGTATCTTAGGTTACTTTATTAGCTATTAAATTTATTAGGATTAGAAAGTTATTTAGAGATTTAAGTAATAGAAATAAATATAATAAAAGTAATAATAATAATAAGAGAAATAGTAATATTAGTATCTCTTTTAAAAGGAGATAATAATTAAGAAAGTATATTATTTTAAATAAGTACTTTAAATAACTCTTATTAGATTTCTTTAACTTATATTTTCTAGTACTTAATTATATTATCTTTCTATTAAATATAGTTAAAAAGATTAGTAATAATAAAATATAGAATAAATAATTTATAAAGTTCTTTTATAATAGTAATAGAGAACTAGTATATCTTAATAATATATTATCTTAATTTATTAGGGGTATTATATAGGAGGGTTTCCATATCTTTAAGTAATATAGATAGTAAGGCAGGCATAATAATAGTAATTAACTCCTAGTAGAGAGGAGTTATATAATATTAGGGGGCAGAGTTAGATTTAGATATTTATTAATTAAGAGCTAACTAGATAGAATAGTAGAATAATAAGTGTCAGGTAATAGACAGGACATAGCTTGAAGAGCTATAACAAGATTAAGGATAACATGGCTTAAATACAGGAATAAGGGTGGACAGTCAAGGCAGAATCTAACTAGATAGGTACTACGGCTTCGCACTGTGACACATCTCTCCTTCTCTCTATTTCCTAGTTAGACCCAATTGAATTCATTTCGGTCAACTTTCTACCGTCATAGTTTGACGACCTCTCATCAATATATACTGGAGAAGGGAGTCGGTAAGCGGGAAATACCAAAGTCAAAATAAACCCCACGGCAAAGAAAGGTGAATTACGTCAAGCCGGGGGGCGTAACCAAAGAATGTGACGCATTTGAATCTTCTCTTCCCTCGGACCAATTTCCTCTCCAATGCCTGTACATAGACCTACTCAAAATGTCAAGCGGTAGAAGCAATGCCATTTTGATTTCTACGTCTGTGCTACTGGGTATTTCGCTGGTCACTGTTTGTCTCCGATGTTATGTACGTCTTAGAATCGTCAAGGCGTTTGGGTGGGATGACTCTTTAATGGTCACCGCGATGGTGGGTGATACCCAGACCATGCCGGCCTTTTCTTTTCTTTTCTTTTCTTTTTTTTTGACGAGCCTTATACAGATATTTAACATTGGATTCGCCATATGTGGAATCATCGGGACAACCTATGGCATTGGGAAGAAGGCAGAGTATTTTCAAAGTCGACCGGATGATTTTCAACTCGCCATGTTAGTGAGTGTCCAGCCGCGATTCCTTTCGCTTGTGAAGCTCGAGCTAATCCAAATCAATAGTACTGGTGGCTGGCCCAACTGTTTTACGTGGTTACATGCACGATGATGAGGATGTCGATTGCCGTCATGCTTCTTCGATTGGTCATCGATCGAGTGTTTTTTGGCATCCTTTACGGCGTGATGGCGCTGTCGACCATAGCAGGGCTCATTTTTTTCTTCTTTACCATATTTCAATGCACACCGGTTGCGTACTATTGGGGTCGATTAACGATGCAAGGCAAGTGTTTGAACACCAACACTTTGCTCGGAATCGCGTATTTTTATAGTGCGGCGGCCACAGCGTGTGATCTGACCATTGGAATTCTGCCTGCGGTGTTGATATGGAATCTGAGAATCAGCCATCGCGCAAAGCTTGGAATCGCAGTCATTCTTGGAATTGGTTGCATGTTGGTTCTCCTCCTTCCCTCCCAGCGGACTCTTCTCGTCTAACCAATGCTGCTATTTCTAGTGCAAGCGCTGGGGTGATTGTCCGAATCCCTTTTCTGCACCGCATAACGAGTCCAGATTTTCTATGTAAGTGGCCCCCCTCCTTTTACCTACATCATGGGTGCAAGTTTGACAGTAAACCAGCCTCAACCTTCCAGGCGACAATATGGTCCAACGCTGAAGCAAACTTAGGCATTACTGCCGGGAGTCTTGCCCCTATACGCCCACTTTTTCGCGACCTTACCTGCATGAGGGGCAAAGGTAACCTTACAAGAGCCGCGCGCATCTCGAGCGATAGGTATTCGAGTGCCCATAACAGCGAGAGTAATGAGTATGTAGCCTACTGATGCTGGGTGATATCAGACCTGTATTTACTCTAGGATTTCAATCCTAAAACTAGACATAATATAGGATCCATAATCCTAATCGAACGTGTAAAAACTCTTACAATACTCTGTACCGATTGACTGAGTGTCCCTTGTGCAGCTAACCCTTTCTTTCCACAGAGCATTCCATATGTATCCCTGTAATCATTGATTGGCAGGGCAACCCGAAGCTTGGAAGTAAGATGTAGTCGAACTTGTGTATTCTTCTTTTACACCCTAGCGAAGCATGCACTGTATCAAGAATACTCTAGTATGTCAAGGTATATACCTTGCGCCCGCGTGAATCGGTCCGGCTATATTCAACCGTTTTACCCATGTCCGAGACAACCCGTCTCTGGTCACCATTGTGCAGAACAATATCCAGATTTTTCCAAGCAGGAACAAATCCGCTCTCTTCATCCTTGGTGAAGCTTACCAGCACCCTGTCATCAGTGGAGCTATAGCTGATAGTGTAACGAGATACCTTAGGGTCAACGGAGATTCCGTCATCTTCCATCCAAGTCGTGGAGAATACATTGCCATGCGAACTGCCTTTGGGGGGGAAGATCTCAACTCCTCGATAGTCGTCTAGTTCTTCCACTGCTAGGGATGCTGCTGTTTCATCGCCGACAATTCTTGTCTGGACTGATTTTCCCACCGGAATAGCACCCCCAATTTTAGCCAGTATCGGAATACTCTGCTGCCACTCTGAAGCCACCTGCACCCATTGGCCAGAAGCGAAATACGCGTACGGAGCATTCATGTTGACGTATCCGTAATCAAAGGTGTCGTTCGACTTTCGCGGTAAATACATTCTCGCGACACTCACACCCGGTTCATAAACCCCTCCAACAAGGATTGTATCACCGAACCAGTACTGCTCTTCTCCTCTCTTTAGGGGTTTTGTCCACACCTCTGGATCAACCTCGTAGCCCCATCCTACCCAGCGCTGGGGAGGAGAGGCAAAGAAGTGACTTTCCAGGCCCAGGGAATAAATATAGGGGAGGATCTCGTAGCGGCGTTTAATCGTATCGCGAATCAGAGGAGTGATCTCAGGATACATCCAGGGCTCAATAACCTCGCCAACGGAGTTGTTTCCGGGTGATGTTTTGAAACAGTTGATGGCGAATCGCGGGGAATAGATACCTAATTGTACCCATCGAAGAAGGAGCTCAGGAGATGGTTGTGGTCCTGAAAAGAGGTTTTAGCTACCTGTTCTTCCAATATGAGTCTTCAGAAATCAATGGCATACCTTCAAATCCCCCAATATCGTGGCCCGTACACTAAAGCTTATGTTAGTTCCTCAGTCCTATGCGAGCAGTATTTTTTTTTTTTTTTATTTCATAGCCTCACCTGTAGGAGAGAGATCCCGGAATTCAGAGACAAGGCATTCGCGCCTTTCATACCTTCCCAGCTCGTCACGTTGTCGCCACTCCAGGTGCTGGTTGCGTAGCGCATAGTCCCAGCTGTCGCACTGCGAGTAAGGACAAACGGCCGGTGTTTGGGCTCCATATCTCTCAGCCCTTCATACGAGGCTTTACCCATGAGTTCGGTGTGCATAGCACGACCCCAGAGACCAACGGAATTATCCTTGGTCTGTTTTTTGGCCGCTTCGCTGACCGTCGGCTCATCAAGGATAACTCTCCAGTCATCGCTTGGGAGGGTATATTCATTGTTATCATTCCACATGCCGTCGATTCCAGCACGCTTTAGGCTTTGAACCCCGTCATACCACCACTTGAAGGCAACAGCTGAAGTAAAGTCGATGTGGCAGCCATCACCCCCTGTCCCGCCACCAGCACTCCAAAGTCGCATATAACCTGGCTTGCCAGACTCTAGATCTCGGAAGAATCCGTTTCCGTCCAGTAGGTTCTCAAAATCTGGGTGCGATGACAACAGGAAAGGTTTAATGTTAGATAACAGGCGAATGCCGCGGGAGTGATACTGGGCAATCCACTTCTCTGGGTTCGGGAATCGGTATCTGTTCCATGTAAAGACGTTGCGCACTTTCGGTTCAGTCTCTGCGATAGAGTAGCCCGAACTCATCTGGTGTGCAGAGCAAGGGATGTCATGTTCCCTGAGTTTATCGGCAAACTCCATAAGTGCCTGGTGAGCAGGGGGTTCATCCATCATGGTGTATTTGTAGCCACCGGAAATGTATCCATAAGCCCATCGGGGGACAAGGAGAGGAAACCCCACTAACGCCGCGTATGACTTCACAACATCCTTGAGAGTCTTTCCGACAATGAGGTACTGCTCAAGGCCTCCATAGTCCTGACGGTAAATCTTGAAATGTCCCCAGAGACCGTCCACTTCAGAGCCGACCGACCAGCTTCCCCTGCCGTGCGTGGTGGAAAAGATACCGATGCACCCGCTGGGGGTTGCCTTGACTAGAAGAGGGATGTGTTTATACAAGGGATCGGTGTTATAAACGTCGTACCCAAAGCTATCTGTGGCAGACAGCTGGAAATAACGGCCTGTCAGATCCATTGGGGCAGTCTTTTCTCCTAGTCCAACGTGAAACGCTGTACGGTCATGCTCCGAATAGTGTGCAACTCCCTCCCCGTCTGCCACATACGAGCGCAAAGGCAAATCCCGGTACAAAGGCTTATTATCGCCTTTCCATGACAGTGAGACCACTGGGGCATTCTCCCAGTCTACTACGGCATTGACATTGCCAATTTCAATGGATTTCTGGAAGGGGCCGCTGGTCGTAGATATCTGAATACCAGACAAGTCCGTCGCCGGCTTCTGCACACTTGGATAGGGAGGAAGAGGGCGGTCTTGCGAAGTGAAGGTCACCCGGAAAAGATTTTCCCGGATTGTTTCAAATGAAAAATCAAAAGATGGTTTGTTCGAGTCTGCAGAGTGAAGATGTACGGCAGAGCTAGACCCTTGGGATTGGATCTCTTGATATCCCTTTGGGCAGTACTCTTTCTGAGGCATGGTTCCGCGGACGATGTAGAATAGTAATGAGTTAAGACACGAATCATCTAGCGCACCGAGATGCCATTCTATGCGACACGACGCAGTATTTGAATTATTTCATTGCTGTCGGCTCGATTTCTTGCTCGAGTTTCCTTCCCCCCCCCCCCCCAGAGCTATCCATCATATCGGGTTTCGGGCGTCATCTCCGACATGATGCACGCTGGCTTGTCACCCGCAAAGTTCTCTATATCTAGATATTAATTAGGCCGTTATGGAAACCCTCGGGTTTCGCACCCGATGACCGACTCCGCAACTCCACCCCGCTTTTGCAAATGCTCTTCTTTCCCCACGGGTATAGTTCGGTTGAACTATGGCTCGGACGCTGCCCGACAAACTCCATACCCTGCTACTCGTTAGCCTAATCCAGACTATTTTAGCTCGTTGTGCGGATTCCCATCGGATTTGGCAGGCTTCGTCCGGTAGGAGACATGGCTTTTTCCCCACGGGGTGCCCCAGGGAACACTGTGAAGCAAGGGGATCTCCAGACATGGAAATTTGTCCAGTATATATGCTACAGGCTAGCACCTCCGGAGTCTATGCACACTACTATTTACTCTTAAGTCCTGTTGGCATTTCACCTTCTTCACATTCACCTTGTGACTTTGTCAGGACGAGGTATGTTGCCACCAGGATCCTCTGTTTCGAAGCAAAATGAGGAAGAACAGATCGAGTTCGCACCTGCAAGTATCCAGGATATACCACAAGAAGAGAGGCATCGGAATGACCAAGGGGCACGGAACAAGACACTGGATTTAATCGACGACATCGGCCGTTCGACGATTCTCACGCCAGAAAACAACAAACAAGTTCTCCGAAAGATTGATCTCAGACTATTGCCTATTCTCCTCTGCATTTACTTCTTACAGCAACTTGATAAATCAACCCTTTCCTACGGTTCCGTCTTTGGGCTGATCCAGGATGCCAACCTTAAAGGGCAAGAATACTCATGGCTAGGTTCGGCTATTTATCTTGTTCAGCTTGTTGCTCAACCATTTGTAGCCTACATCCTGGTAAAACTGCCTCTGGGCAAATTTTTGGCCTGTACAGTTTTTCTCTGGGGTATTGCCCTGGCGTGCATGACTCCAGCGAAGACATTCGGGGGATTATTGGTTTGTCGAATCTTCCTAGGTCTTTTTGAAGCAGGAATCCGTAGGTCTCTCTCTTTATTGAGTATGAATCGTGTTCTCCAACCCATATGCTAACGATAGGTACCAGCGCCGGCCTTCATTGCTATTACTCAAATGTGGTACCGTCGGATTGAGCAACCTGTTCGCCTCAGCTCATGGTATGCAATGAATGGCGTTGTAAACATGGTCAGTTGCCACCCACCGTGATTCTCTCTTTCCCACAAACTAGACTAACAGCAAACCTATAGTTTGGAAGCCTCCTCGCCTTTGGTCTCGGTCACATTCATTCGTCGATTTTTGCACCTTACCAGGTGCGGCCACCGTTCCATTTCGTTCTGATGCTGTAGCTGACTGTGGTTAAGATTATCTTTTTGTTTTTTGGACTGGTTACAGTCGTATTTGCGTTTGTCGTCCTGTTAGTTCATCCTTCGCCTCGCAAACATATGAAGCTCATCTAAATTTTAATGGGCAGGGTATTCATGCCGGACTCCCCTCTACAGTCAAAATTTCTGGAAGACGAGGACAAGCTTTTGGCAATTGAGAGGTAGGTATACCAGCCCACTGTTGTGATATCAGCACACTTATGCGATGAAAGACTCCGGATGAACCAGCAAGGCACCGAAACAAATGAATGGAAGTGGGGACACGTCAAGGAGGCACTCCTTGATATGAAATCATTCTTCTGGTTTGCGTTGATGTTTTCTATTTCGTAAGTAGGCTCTACCACGACCCATGGAGAATCCAACTTACCCAATGCAGGATTCCAAGTGGCGGGATTACAACCTTTGGGCCGTTAATCATCCAGTCTTTTGGGTTTGGCCAGCTGGAAACGATGCTTTTCAATATGCCATTTGGTGCCATTCAGCTTATAGCCACGCTAGGAGGGGCGTGGCTGGCAACGAAGACAAAGGCAAAGGGCGTCGTTATCGCATTACTCTGTCTCCCTGCCATCGCTGGATGTGTTATGTTACTACAAATACCTCATAATGCTTCTCACAAAGGACCATTACTCGCTGGATACTATATTGTAAGTTGCATACCTCAGTAAAGTTTTTCGAGTATGCTAACCGCAACAGATATCTGTTTACCCAGGAATAAGTGCGATTTTAGTCAACCCCCAGAGAAATCACGCTGACCTTAGCTTAGCACCGTTAATTTACTCATGGTCTGCAGCAAATACGGCCGGTGAGACTAAGAAGAAGGTCACTAATGGTATTTTACTCATTGGGCAATGTGCCGGTAACGTATGTAGCACCAGAATCCGGATCTCTGAGTAGACATTAATCCATGCACAGGTGGTTGGCCCGAACTTGTATACTACTGAAGAGGCACCCGAATATCGGCGTGGCCTACTCTCTAAGTAAGGAGAACCCCCATCGTTGGCTTTTACTTATATCTGACGTTAAGCGTAGTCTTGCAATGTTCTGCGTTCTAGTTTTGCTTTGCGCGTAAGCACTACTCTTCCCTTATATTCTTGGGGTTTTATGTCTAATTGTTGCTAGTTTGAATATGGGATATATCACATTGATCAATAAAAGGCAGGAGGCGAGGCGAGTGTCCATGGGTAAAAGTGCAAAGATAGTTGATCACTCTATGCATGCTATTGGTGCAATCCAGGTTGACAAGAACGAGGCTGTCCAAGGCGTCGAAGGCGAGGATAATACATTCAAGGACCTCACGGACTTGGAGAACGAAGACTTCGTCTATGTTTATTAAAACAACTTATACTAAGACGATATTTGTGTCGCCTCAGGGTAGCTGTTATTGCTCCGGTAAACCGAAAGTGAAATCATGCGAGTTTCACGAAGAGTACATAGTGGTTGCATCTTCCTGTCATCTTCGAAATAAACAACCCATTTTAAACCACACTGGACGAGTCTAGCCGCAATTACCACGTCTCTAAAAGAGCCACTCCCCATATCGGAGTATCTGCGAGCGACTCCACCAGGTTAATTATTCGAGAACTTCATAGCCGAACTAGTAGGATCCTGACAGCCACGTCACCCATCCCGCGTGGTTTCCTCCTGCTTCTACCAACAACCGACAAGACATCGATTTTGATCAAGTGCTAAAATCACCCAGTTTATATGTATTAACTCTGCACTACTTGGCCGAGGCGTATTCAACATGGACTCGGAAGAAGCATGCTCCATGGCGGCACCAAGTTGGATGAAGCGGATTCCGGTATAGGGGCCATTTCCCCCTTTTCCATCCGTCATATACAGAAAAATAACGTTCCTGGCTCTGACTGGCTGTATCGATATCAGAAAGCGTGCAGTACTTGCCGGCAATCAAAGGCATGGTGAATAATATCCTTGTCTAGTTGCTAATCAGCTAACAATTCTTTTGCAGGTCAAGTGCGATGGAAAGCGCCCTTGCACAAGGTGCGAGTTTATCTTATAACCCTAGCCACATATCACACTCCTTGAATGTATTTTAACATAATAGGCTAGATGTGAGAAGCTGAAGAAGCAATGCACTTTTTTCAAGACCCCTAAGGATCCGGTTATGGAGTACGTACAGCTTACCGATGTCCGGAACGTTCAACTCTTCAGATGGGTCTCAAAATAGGCTCTGATTGTTTTTTTTTTTTTTCTAGGAGACTAAAAGTAGTCGAATCGGAAGTACACCGTCTCCAGGAACAATTGAATGATACGAGAGAGCTTCTTCGTCTCCACTCGCAGCCAGACCCCGAAAGATTCACAGGGGCCGAGGTGTCATATCACGATGCCTTACCGGGACAGGGGCCATCTCGCGATAGCATTTCAATATCACCGCCTCTCCAGGCAGTGGACCAGACTGCAGTTATTATTAACCCTGGCGCAATTGTAAGAGGGACCCAAAGGGAAGCATCTCTCCAGCCTCAAAGCCAAGCAGCCAACGCAGACCCTCCCCGTTCGACGAAAAGAAAGCGCGCTGGATTTGACATCCGGAATAAGCCAATTTCAGATTTTATCATTAATGGTTTCATTACTATCGATCAGGCCGTGGGTCTTTTTAACACGTAGGTTGCTAGCAATCATCTAACGTTTTTGTGGTTGAATTACCCTAATATACTTCATAGCTTCTTCCAAGGCTGCGTAGGTAATTTTTCAGTCGGCTAGCTGCCATGAGCACTAACATGAATTAAATTATTTAGGATAGATATATTCCTATTTTTGATCCTAAGTACGACTCCTTCGAATCGGTACGTTGCAGAAGTAGTGTTCTGTTGAATGCCATATGTGCAGTTGGTAGCCTTGTGGAAGGAAGTACGTTCAATTGTCCCATTCGCACCTTGGAGTTCATATCAAGATTAATTTTATACTCATCATTTTAGATTCTTCCCCCCAATTGTCAGACCAGCTGCATTTCGAGCTCAAAAAATGGATCAATGTCGTTATCCAAAACGCAAGGCTGAGCTGCTTGGAATCAGTTCAAGCATTACTCGTGATCGCTTGCTACTCCTCTGATCGCTCTCTCATTCTCTCATTCGCCATCCGGATGGCACTGGACCTGGGGCTAGATGAAGCATTCGAGGACCTAATCCAGCAATTGGCCATGCACGACGTTGGCGGGGGCCTTGATATTCGCAACGTGGTTGAAACGGAAAACATTCTAATGCGCAAGTGCAGAGTATGGTTTGGGCTCCTGGTGCTGGAGCACATGTAAACCACCATCCCCATGCAAGATACCATAAAAAGCCCCTTAGTTCTGACAACTGCTAGATTCAGTGTCGACGGAGGCAAGCCCCCAGGAATTCAGATGACAGGGAATGCACGACACTGTCGCAAGCTACTCACTCACCCTTCTGCAACCGTACTGGACCTTCGTCTCTTCTCTCAGGTTGAGGTACTTGAGCCTGTACATATTCCCCGGGATCTTAGACTAATTCCTTCAATGCAGCTCAATGTCATCAGAGGTTAGCGTCTACGGCGCATTATTCGCATATATCTAAGCTCACGCTAGCTTCAGTGTACATCAATGAAACCCTAGGCGTCAAAGAGCCACTTGACCGATCAGATATATCAGCTTTTGTTCATGAAGCGAAGCTTGATCTGGATCTCTGGTTTGAGTAGGTGATTTCTGATCCTCTGAAACTTGTCTAGCGAAAGCTCATAGAAATAGTGATTGGCAACGGATCATAGGTAACGAAATTCCGATGGAAATGTGCCAAAAATATGTACAAGCTTCCATTAACTTCGTACAGAAAACACCCTTACTGCGGAGGATAACGAGCGACCCTCCTTATTAGCTGCTCTGCGAGTCCAAAAGTGCTGGTCGGAAATGATGCTTTATTGCAAGGCTCTTCGCTCAATGGGCGTAGAAAACGTCGCGTTAGTTCTTTCCTCTGCACTCGCTGCAGGCGAATGTTTCACTGAGATTTTTCAGAGCCATGTCTGCGGTAGAACATAATATCCTCCTGATGGCCAAAGCCAGTGCCAGGAGGCACCTTGGACTCATCACCATTGAAGCAGACTCATATCTCGCCAAGCTGAAGTATGCGATGGATTTTGTTTGGGCCAAATGCGCATTCTGCTTTCTTCTCCTTCTCAAATTCTCTCGTCTCCTCCCAGAGCCAAAAGAGGAACGACAGGAATTACTTGACCAGGGCAACAGACTATTGGATGAGTTAATGAACCGTGGCTCGAACAGTAACACGGCTAGCAATAGCAATGTCTATTTACAGATCCTGCGCTTGAGCATTGAAAAATACGGCCGCACTCTTTACGAAAATGAAATCGGTGGAGTAGATGGAACTGACCAGGACGCGGTACCTTTTTGGGAATTGTTTGATGCACAGACAGAGCTGCATTCTTTCGTGCCCGAGCAATTTGTCATGGATTGGGATTTTCCCGGATTGAATCTTTTCTATTTCCCAACCGCATGGCAGGACTTTTTTGGGGATCTGTAGCCACAAAAGGGTTGCTTTGTGTGAGATCCTAAGAGCCTGTTTAGTTATTATATCATACTGCATGCGTTAGAAACTTCCCCAGAATCTTGTACTTTCGCGATATTTTTATTATATGATCCAATCCAATTCTAGATATTAGGTGGATGCGAGTGCTACCCACTCTATACCCTTTTCTTTAGCAATGCGAAGATCATTTGAGCCATGACCTCTTGGTGAAGTATAGGCTTCCATCCCTGGGAAGAGGCTACAAGCACTTCCTTTTAGTGAGAACGATCTAGTTTGAAAATAAATATAAGATTTCGATGCGTCATGAAAATCATCTACCATCACAAGGTGTAGAAACCAAAGCTTTCTGTCTGCTCAGCTCCCCAGACCCCAGCCACACACACACACACACACTATTGATTAGGGATCATATATCCCTGGTGACGCCGGCGCCACCCTATCTGTGACCTTGAACCTGGAGGGACCTCAGCCTGGGAAACATCCTTCGCCATTTGCCCCTTCCGTAGGGGTATTGGCTTGTCTCTCGAGGTTTTCTTTTGAAAAAAAAAAAAAAAATGGATATATGTACATCAGTGGTGGGATCACCACGGTAGCTAGTTTTCTATAGTTTCTCGCCGCCGGCCTTGTTATAGCGCTCGAACGATGAAACTGGGGGTGCAGAGTTGGGGTTGGGGTGGTGCTTCTTGAGGGCCATGCTGACATTGTACTCGAGGTCGAGCTGGGCCTTGGGGTCGTCGGTCTTGGGCTTGAACTCGACGACAAGATCATCCTTAACAGCAAAAACAGAATCGATATCGAGATGCGGGTCATCGCTGGGATAGATCTGGTTGATAACGGTAGCGTAGTCAGGGTGAGTGATCATGAGATGGATGTGAGCCGGGCGCATCGGGGAGCGGTCCATGATGTTGAGGAGCACACCAGCGGGGCCGTCGGTAGGCAGGGAGTAGGGAGTAGGGTGGTAGCAGTACCAGAAGAACTCTCCCTTCTCGTTCGATCTGAACTTGCCGCGGAGGTTGTTCTCACTCTGCGCTGGGTCTTGGAAGTCGTACTGTCCGTTGGCGGAAGCCTGCCAGATATCGAGGACAGCGCCGGCGATAGGCTGTCCGGTTTCCATGTCCTTGATAACACCGTGCATGTAGGTGACCTTGCCGTTAGGGTTGGGGTCCTGGATGATGCTATCGCCCAGGTTACGGAATGGAGCTTTGGGCGACCAGAAGGGACCGAGAATCACGTTAGAGGTGGGGGAAAGCCCCTGTTCTGTGACAATTTTGTTGGCGATCTCATCGACGAGGCTGTGAAATTGGTTAACCTTCTTTTCTTATCTTGTTTTTAATATCTCTGTTCACCGAAGAAGTTTAACTTACGATTCGAGTCCAATAACGTCGCAGATACGATGGCATTCGTTACGGATAGGAGTGCTAATCTTGCCAATAGAGTTGATGAATTCCACACCAAGCATCCACTCCGCGGGGGTGAGCTCAACCTCACGAGCAAAGTCATGAATGTGTCTGATCAAGGCCCCCAAGACAACGCGAGCGCGCTCAGGGGTTTTGGGTCCCATGGCATTGACCACATAGGGAGTGAAGTTAGGGTCGAATCGGGGGTTGGTCGACATTGTGTGTATGTGTGGATGGGGTTGTGCCGGCGTTAAGATAAGAGGGGAGATATTGGGGAGTCTGGGGTTGTAAATGGGAAAAAAAAAAAAAGAATGAACAAGTGGTAACCCAGACAGGCTTCAACAGTCTACATATATGCTGAAGCAGAATGTGGCAAGCCCGCATACAGGGTGAAGTGGATGGTGACGGCAAATCTTTTCGGCTTTTTCTCTACCAGGTGGCTCTCCAAGGTAGCGATATGCCGAATGGATTGACTGACTTGATTTGGCGATTATTTTCTTCTAGCTTCTATTCACTGTCAACAGCCGAGCGGCTGCAGGTTCGCACAGCCAGCCGGATCAACTGGATTACAGTTCAAAGTTTGATACCATCAAGCTGGTCCCGGAGTAGTTCTTATCCGCGGGTAAGGTCTCAAGCTTCCCCGGGATTTGTCCCCAGTCTGCACCCCGGGCACTTCGTTCTTACGCAGCCTCAATATTTCTCGCCTAGGGAGCTCCAAGCTTACTAAGTAGAAAGGCCTGACTGTGGGGAAAGTTCACGGCATCCTCATCGAGAGCCGGAGTAGAATTTTCGAGCTTCAGCAAGGGAGAAAGGAGAGCCTACCTCGTGTTGATAATGATTTATACCGCGCATCATACGATTCCTAATGAAGGCCTGTTGGAGAATCCCCGGAATACCCTTGTTCCAGCATGTCTGTATGAAATACGGAGGACTCGGTGCAAGTTATCTGAATTTCTGCCTTAGGCAGCAAAGTCTTCTGTAACCCAATACATAATCCGTCCGAATAAAATAAGCTCGTTATTAATGACAGGGCCTAGTTTGTCTAATTATGGTCATAATCTCACAAAAGGAGAGATATCTAGAGTCTAATAATAGTTTCAGTATGAAGGTACACTTAAGAAGAGGGTTAGTAAATGAGGTGAGGATATAAAAATCCAGTGGCGGAATATATATTTATATTAGAATTCTTGAGATGATTATTATAACCCTCAAGATTCTTACAATAGGATGGAGTACGACTGTATTTATCTTATAAACTCCCACAGACTAAGCAAGAGCAGGAGAATGAAAAACAGCGAGAAGTTGAAGCAGCGATGGAGGGGACTTTTATAGAAACACGCCCGGGATGCTACTGAACCCCTAGAAATAGCTACGATCAACCACATCACATAATTGACCGTCCCCAAGGAGGACAAGTGGATATCCAACCACTAGACTTTATTTCGACTTCTTGTTTCATCCCAGTAGTCTCGCAAGCTTCCTAACGCTAACTCCCAAGAAAGCCCCTTAATTGGTTGGAGACTGTGGACCGGTGAATTTGACCAAGACCTTCTCGCTCAGGAAAGGAGGAGTTGCAGACCAGTGCTGTCTGCTAAATGATTTTTAACTTGCCCTAATGTAGTTTGCGGCTGAACCCAACATTTACGCACACTTATGATAGGACCTTCACAACACCGGCTCGGGATTAGCCTTGCACCCTCAAGATTGTCGTAATTTGGGTAAATCGTGGATTAATATGATTGTGTGCTGAATCCCGACGAGGGGAAAATTGAGCCGGGTTGCCCCATGCTTTTCTCTGCGCTCGAACTTCTTTCTCTTCCCGTGTCCTTTCATTTCTCTGGAGTTCGTGCGACAGTGACAGAGAGAAACCGCTTCATCAGTCTGATTACGGTGCCTTGCGATGTGGGTATCGATTCCCCCACTCGCTGCAGTCCTCGCGAGTATGTTGGCGCTTGCGAATGTGAACCTCGCGCAGTCAGCTACCTCCACTACCAGTACCTCAGAGTCGGGATATTTGATCGGGTGGTATATTGGGCCATCGTCTAGTCAGTTCCCTGTGAAAATTTCCTAATCATGCATGCGGCAGTAGCTGATAAAAACAGCGGAACGGCTCACGGCCGCTAGTCCCTGGGTGACATCGGGGACGTATGCTGGAGAGTGTACCACTACTGATGTTGATCAGTGTGTCCTGCCTACAGCATGTTATGATAACGTCCTTACATATAATAATGGCCAGACATATGACTGGTAAGCTTTGCTGTCTGGATTTTCCTCCCCCCCCTTCAAAAAGAAGCCATGATCACGTACCTAACCATGACAGCGGCACGGGCATGTCCTGTGTGACGTTCACGGCTTACGAAACATCCCCAAACGGACTCCCCTCTGCCAGCAACATTATTTGCGGCGTCTGGACTGCTTGGACAATTTATCATGAGCTCCCATCCTCTACATCTACTTCATCCGCAAATTCTACGACGGGCGCGCCATCTGTCACGCCCGGTCCGTCCAATATCACAGCCACTACAACAAGCAGTAAGAGGCCATGTTCGGACAAGCGATGTCTAAAAGCTAACAACCTGTTCCTCCCAGCAAGCCAAACGCAGAACAATACCTCCGAACCGCCCTCGTCTTCCTCATCCGGCAGTCAGGCCTGGATCGCTGGTGCCGTAATTGGCCCCCTCGCAGGTTGCGCTATCATTGGTGCCGCTGTGTTCCTCTTTTTCCGTCGTAAAACCAACTTGGACTATACTGCACCACCGCAAACACTGCTCCCACAAGATGGGTTGTATCACGGACTCGGCGCGAAGCCCTATTCACGGGGGACATCGGAGTTGCCCAGTGCGGAATATCATGGATATACGCCAGTTGCTGAGCTGCCGAGTAACCAACAGGCATATGAACTATCCTCAGCACGAGACTGAATATCGACTAGCAGCTTCATAATAGCTGGTGCTCTAATAAAAACACTCGTTATTTGACACATCACAAGCGAACCATGGTGGGAAGCCTACCAGAATAGAGAATCGTGGGACCATGCCAACTAAACATAACCTGGCGGGAATGTGTAGATCTCGCAGGCTTACAAACCTGTTTGATACAGGCAGGTCAAGTTGCAACACATAGGTAATAAGGAGACGGCTATTTTTTAAAAAAAGCAAGGACATTGGGTAATTTTTATCTAGGTCAGCGTCTAGCGCGGGTTGCGCTCTTGTGTATACTGGGTTGAATTGGTCCAATTATTCGTCCCCTGAGAGGCACTCGCAGACAAATTGCATATTATGAAAACCATATACAGCCTAATACTTCTATTGCACAAAACCCATGGTTGATCTACTGATTGGGGATTGGGATCTTTTACTGGTGTGGCTTTGTCTACCCTGTCAAAGGGGCTGTATCCTATATTCGGAGAAAGATGACCACCCTATGATGTGGTGCTAATAGCCACTAGAAACCACATTAGCCTACAATCTCTCTGGTCCTGGGCATACAGAGTAAAGGTTATGGCTTTTAGGATCATGCATTCTTTATTTATAATTAGCTATGCTAAGCATTCACCGTCCGGATCCAGTCGGGCTCAGTAACCACCCTCGACTCTTTCAGACGTATTCCCCCTTTCACTCCAAATCAAGTCATTAAACACATGACAGCAAGTTATTAACAAAATCCGAAATGTTCAAATGCTAATGTATTTATTCCGTGCATCAGAATTTCGCCCTTGACACCCTTGGAGTTTTTGTGAACTTCGTACTGGCTGAGCAATTGGTATTACAGGCTGAATCTGGGTCGAGACCCTCCAGTCGATGGACAGGGGATCTTAGCTTCGACACCTGAGCTTACAAAATAATTATGCTGACCGTTTAACTAACTAACTGTTTCTCGAATTGTGTGTATCAGGGGGTAGGCTTCATTTTCTGTGTAGAATCCAAACTCCGCAACCGTGCATAATTACGAATAAGCAATAGGGCTAAGGACAAGCAATAGGCTTGGGACACGCAGCCCAATCACAATGGAACCTAAGGGGTGCTAATAGCAGAGCAAGGTTGCATGGCACTGCTGATTATATTCTGGCTAAAATCGTAAATATGGTCAGGTCATTATGGAATGGGAAACATAGATATTGAAACAAGACACGTCTGGGTGCGGTTGAATCGTGACTTCTTTACCATCCACACTCGAGCAATATGGGAAGTGAGAAGACTTTAGCCTGGAAAACGATTTCATGCCTAAAAACATGGAAATTATCACATACCCTGTAGCTTGTTTTGATTCTTGCACCATTAACCATCTCAGGCAAAATCCAGGGAGAGGCCCTGATATAAAATCTGCGAAATTTCTCGGACTAATGTACTTTGCAATTATCTATCAGCAGCTTCGATTTACATTGTCTCTTTCTATACTCTAAAACTCAACCTCACCTTGCTAAAATGGTTTACTTCTCCGTGGCTTTTGGCCTCACTGCTGTTGCAGGACTTGCATTGGCTTTTCCTGGACATCCGATGGACAAGCGTCAGGCAATCACGTCCTCCCAGACCGGTACAAACAACGGTTACTATTACTCATTCTGGACCAACGGCGTGGGAACTGTTGATTACACCAATGGCAATGGTGGAGAGTATAGCGTTACCTGGGACAATTCAGGCAGCGGCGGCGGCGATTTCACTTGTGGAAAGGGCTGGAACCCTGGAAGTGCACAGTATGATTGATGTTCTGAGTCATCTCTAAGAGAGCTCCTTTCCAAGGTATGACTAACTTCCTTAGGGATATAACGTACTCTGCTACGTTTACTCCAAGCGGAAACGCCTATCTAGCGGTCTATGGTTGGACTGAAAGCCCGTTAGTCGAATATTATATTCTCGAGAACTATGGCGACTACAATCCTGGTTCAAGTATGACGCATATGGGGACAGTCACTAGTGATGGGTCTACTTATGACATTTACCAACATACCCAAACCAACCAGCCTTCCATCGAGGGCACTGCTACCTTTCAGCAATTTTGGTCAATTCGTCAGAACACCCGTTCCAGCGGAACTGTGACTACTTCCAACCATTTTAATGCTTGGTCCGCATTAGGAATGAATATCGGCTCTTTTAATTACCAGATTGTCTCAACCGAGGGCTATGAGAGTAGTGGCTCGTCAACTGTTACTATTTCTTAAATTAGGCTAGGATGTGTCTGGATGTGCTGGATGGTTGCAGCTGCTTTTTGGAACGGATTTGAAGCACAATGGATATTTGGGGATCGAATGTTTACATAGCACAGTAACTGGGGGAGATAAGAAGGCGGAAACCTGGAAAAAAATTGAAAAATATCATGCGATCAATTGATCGCCAAAAAACCCACGCAGATATATTGAGTGTAAAGATGAGGAACATGGCGTGGTATTATAGTAGACACATGAAGCCTCGCCTGTTGTTTTACAATGCTACCATACGGGTTACTTGCTAGATAATAGATTTATGAATCAAGGGCCAAGTATAGTTAAATGTAGAATTATAGAAACAGTCACATAAAAAGGATTCTCATATCCATCTAGTACTCTTAATAAACCGCCTCAGACCTATAAGGATCAATCCTTAATACCAGGTCATGGCTATTTTACAGGGTATGGCTTGGTGGCTATCAATCACTAGGGCTTGAATCCCATCATACGATGCTATAGACCATTTCTGACCCATGATAGTTGTAGATGAGCTGTTTGATAGCCAACCTGCCAGCTGCTAACGTATTTCTCTGCGGAAACTCCTTCTTCCAGCCGTCTTATTAGCTCCAAGGTACATGGGCATTGGTTTGGGAAAGTGGATCCCGTCAGATAATATGTGTTTAGCAGGTCGTATTCATGTACGTGCCCCGTGTGATGTATGCGCCATCAGTGGCTTAATCAGGGCTCCCCGGGTTTCTCGGAAGGGATGCGTTACTGGATTAAGTAGCCAATTAAATGTCATTTGAATCTATCACCGTAAGCCTCTTTAATGCATTGGAATCAAAGAAAGGGGCAAAGATCAGGAATTATAATAGTCTGACTCAGACGCAGGGATACTACATATTAACACGCCCCCCTGGAAAACTATTGTCCTTAAGCTGTGAAGCTTACCGTATTGAGGAATATATATAACTATACTTCGAAAGGTTAGGCATCAGAAGAAATGACTAGCTCAAGGCTATAGTCATAGCCCTGTACGGAGTAGAGTCACGATGATCTGCAATCAGCCAGCCTTTATCCAGAATACTTCTAGGGTACAAAATCATGGCTAGCTGAAATACGACTACCATCAAGCATACCGAAGATAGTTACCACCTGACCTCGTATTAGATAAAGTTGCTTTTGAAGTATTATTGACTATTTCACCAACTAGCACAAGGTACTTCACAAGTTATATGCCTTTCTCCTTGGATCTACCCAATTCAAATACTGGCGGATCTTACAGAGTATATCGTGATATAAGTTCTACAAAGAGAGTGGAATACCACATAGGATCATATATTGATAGTTGCACGAGTAATTCTTCCCTAATCTAATTTCGGGTTCTATACTGCGTACCTCCGACGGTGGTTCAACCCCCACGGGAGGTTCGCCCTTAGGATTCCCCGGCTGATGCTTAAAGTCGCTGGAAAGCGCTAATGCATGTTGCAACGCGAAATCCTATGCATCTAAACGCTAAGGTGAGAATATTGCATAAAAACAAAACTAAATACCCATGGTACAGTGTTCTTTGTTCATCTACAAAGCCTTTTATGTCTCGACTAGTTAGTTGCCTCGAGTGACTTACTAACAGAGAGTTTCTCTCCGTGTACACCACATGTTGTGGGTCAAGTTAATCTATAAAACATAAGTTTCTCGCCAGCCTGCACAAGATTGCTATATACATGAATATGTGGATTGGGATCAATGTCTATATCAGTCTCTTTATGGAAGGACGATCAGGGAAACCTATGCACCAACTAGTTAACTAGGGCATTGAAAATGTTTGTCAGCCTTAGTCTGAAGGATTTAGAGACGAACTACTCCGTACTATGTAGCTTGTTAGCTGTACCTCTGACTCCCCTGAGCCAAAAACAGGGCTGGCTGAGGATTCAGCAAAGTAGCGTTACCCCGCGAACTATGGATTGTTTTACAGGTGATATTTATGCAGCCACATCAGTGGAGTCTGTGAAACCTGCCGAATACGACACTCTGATTTGAAATAATCTGGATCAAGCTGTATACTACCCCGAAAGGCAAATAACGTTGTCAACACTGAAATTGTCTTGAGGAGAGATATAGAAGTCGAAGGTTTAAAAGGGAGGCATGGACTTGTATGATCAGACTTTATCAAGCTCCCTACACAACACATTTTATCCATTTATCCCGTGACAAGACTCCCCCATCATGGCTCCGTTTGAAATAAGGCTTGCGTTTTTCTTTTATATATTCCTTCTTGCAAAAGGCTCGCCTTTGCTAGGGGATATTTTGGATTTAAGTCTAGATGTGGATCTTCCATTTCCCTTTCCATTCTGCACTTCTACCACAACTGTGACTCTTGCAGGGACCCGTACTATTACATCAACCAGCACTGTGGCTTCAGTATGTTTAGAGATGCAAGGTGATTAGCGAATTGTGGCACTAACAGGTGTACTAGGCCACCAGCATTATCACTGTTACAGCGCCGGCAGTAGTAAGTGGCTATCAATAGTTCTCGCATTCTGTTCATACTGAATGGTTTTGCAGGAGTCTACCACAAAAGTGAGAACAACAATATACTCCCCTACAGAGATTAGCTGTTTACGCACTGCAACAACATTTGCACCCTATCGTGCTCCTTTTGGTACGCTGGCAGCACGAGAAGCTGTGCATCAGGGTGCCATGTCCACCCAGTCCAACCATTGTCCAACTGTGCCACCGATCACTATTATTGTCCCCACGGCAACAGCTGAGCCCTGTACATGCATAGAGGGAGAATACACCACTGTGTAAGTCATAATACCCCAGCTGTTGCTTGCTATCCAATTCCTGATTATTTGAAGCATCGACACCGTCACAGTGGCCCCCGAGGGGATCTCGAGAACTACAACTACCCCGACCCACATCGTAACTGCAACTGAAACGTGGGTTCATCCGACCCCCACAAGTTATAATGGTATATGATCTCCTACTGTGCTCTAGCTTAGTTATACGCCTTTTGCTAAGCTCTTTATCCAGGATTGAACTACTACCAATATATTAATGACTATGACTACTTCAACAGTCCGAACGGTTTTGGTGGTGGTGATTATGACACAGCCAACTGGAACGGTAACTATAGTTACTCTACAAGTGGGCTCACTCGAAATATTGATTTCGAGTCACCAAACTGGCCTTCTGGGCCCGCGAGGTGTCAATTACCCGGACAGGATACTGCTACCGACTGCAGCCAGTGGACTGTTGTCTTCCAAGGATTTTTGTATGCTGCTGAAGCTGGAAACTATACCGTGCATGCCCCCACTAGCAGCGAGAGCTCCGAGTGGCAAGATAACTCTGGATTTTGGTGGGGAGGAGAAAAGGCATACTCCTCATACGCCAATGAGAATGTTGATGGAGGCGCCACTGGGAATGGTATTCCAGGAACACCGAACTCATTCAACTATCCCTTGATGGCCGGGGAGTTCTTGCCCATGACGTTTATTTATTCGAACGGGGGAGGGCCTGCTGCCAATCGGATAAGTATTACCAGCCCGAATGGAACAAGATATCCAGCGGACTTGGACTTGTTTGTGCCCCCTTGCCCGAATAGTCCATTTATACCTTGAGATTGCCGCAGGGTATAGTTCCTGGCGTGTGGCGATTGCGCCCTCCGTTTTACGCTATTCGGTGGCTGAAAAGAACCCCGAGCTTTGAGTATGAATAGTCTGTATTTAGTTACCTAAAAACCTTGACCAATAGTCATAGTTATTATTTTGATTATTGATAATACTGTCAGAGAAGCTTATTCTATATGTACAAAACGAAGTATAGTATATACTGTATCTTCTGGTGAACGTCTCGAGGGCGAATTACTTGGGGAGCGAATCTAGACCTGCCCACAAGAAGGGAATGCATTGTAGGAGATAGAACAACACAAAGTGCATAGGAAGAAGGGATTCTTATCTAGTGTATAATATATTCAAATAGAAATTTATATTACTTCATAGAAAGCATAGCAATGGATCGAATATAGGAAATACTGATCCATGTACTCCGTACACCTAGATCATGAATCTTATAAAATGCTAAGTCGGACCAGAGATGCATACTTTGAGTCCCCTTTTTCAGCCAAAAGAATATAATTTCAGGGTCGCCCAGCTCTTTTGATATTCACGAATGCCTTTGACCAGCATCAACGAAGGAATGCAGGTATTTTTGCATTTGTTTTTTCTTTCTTCAGTTAGAGGCCGGCAAGTTGAATCATTTGGGTAAGCATTGTTATTCTGTGAGAAAGTTGGTTACACATGTTTTTGATCTCATTAAAAAGTAAGCAGTGAATACGCCAGCACACTTTCTCTTCTTGTTGTTTATTAGTAAGAGTCATGAACCAAGTCACAAGCTGGCTGCATGCATTTATATATGAACCAGGTGGGTTGATAATTGGGCTCATGTCTCACTGGACAGATATTGAACTCGACTATTCAAGGCACATCTGATAGCCCATGGAACCTTCTCAAAGAGTAACATCGAAGTTCGGAAAGTGACCTTCTAACCTGTGAGAAACTCATTTTACCCTCACTCCCCAGATATTATTTCATCTTGGAAGAGAAAACCTCGATCTAGTTCTTGTCTTCCATCATTTTCAGCCGCTTCAAGGGATGCATTAAACCGAGCGTTGAATTCTTTGCTCTCTGCGATTCCATAATGAGCGTTAGGGTGAATAGGAGACAGACACTAGATCCCCAATGCCAGCTGTTCTCATCTCAGAATGTTCCGGTATGGATACATAATTACTTACTCGTTGCTGACAAGCTGCAGCGACGGTCTTCTCCCCCCAAATCGAACATTGTATCTCGAAAACGGCTCCAAGCACATACAATCTGGGTCCGACAAGTGAATGATGTGCTCTTTAAATTCCTGGCGAATGAAGTCGTCATTCCAGTTGTCTATCATTGCCTGGTTGATGGTTGGATCTCTGTAAAGTCCATTGTTCTCCACCAGGTATCGTAGAGCTGCAAGAAACTTTTGTTTACGGACAGTCAAGAATGGTGTCCAGTCAGAATCAGTCAGCGCCCTATTTCCTAACACGATGACCTTGATCAATCTAGTGAAATGGAGTTGTGTGCTCAGCGGTCTGGGGTCTTGAGGTATCATGATACAGTGGCCGCGTAGTGCGCGGTAGTCAAGCGGGGATGGTCGCCCACCAGACTGGATCTTTGGTACTACTCCTACGGGATGTGATTTTGCAATCCAGTATTCCTCAGTCAGGGTGAGAATAGTTAAGGATTCAGAATACCTCTAGCATAGTGTTACGTTGACGTTGTTCTTAGCGGGAAATTTTGGAATGGAACCTCAAAGAAGAGAGGCATGCCACACAGCAAATATTCTAAAAACTGTCGTGGTAACCGTAAGTATCAAGATGCTACTCTATTAGTCGGAGGAAAGGCTCCCCATCATGAATGCTGTGCAGGTTAGTAATATGGATAAGTCTTCTACATGAATAGCACATTGCCTGCTTGCTGTCTCGCATAATCTCATCTTTGTAACGTGTTATCGATGGCCGTATGTGAGAATGAATCTCGACGTAGAAAGTATTTGACGCATGCACCCGGGCATCATATCCCCGGGGTAGGAGATGAATCCCTTGGTTGATAACACAGCGAATGTTGTCAAGATCTGCTATTTTCTATCTCCATGGAGGCGGCAAAGATGAGGGAGGTTGAAATTTATTAACAAATGGATTAAAAGAAGTTATTTCTATAACCAAGGATGTTCGCACGATGTTTGCTCTTCGAGATCTACAATCAGTGCAGCGTTTCAATTGAGGATGATGAAGAAATTAACACCACAGTCCTGACAAGGGCGAGCGTTCTCGAGTGAAATAAAGGCCCGTGAAGAGTGGCAACGTTCACACTAGATCGCAGGCGAGTTTTCAGGAATAGGGATACGATAGCCGAAGCATGGCCGCGTTTCGATAGGTGGTGGTAGATGGGCTAGCCCGCAAGCCGGGAATCACGGTGGCTGAATAGCTGCTGATAGGCGAACTTGACGGCCGCAATTAGCACAAGGCCCGCTAGTTAGCATACCGTGTGTGGAAGGTGGTTGGAAGCGTGATCTCAGGGAGCGTGATATAGGGAAGAAAAATACCGACACACTGGGAAGGGAATGTATGAGAAGGAAACCCCCAGATTTACTCCAGGAGAATGAGTAGAGATATCAAACATGTAGGATGAATAGTCAGGGTACGATCAAAAGCCAAATCGAATGGACCAATCTCGAAACCGCAGCTATCCATATCAAGCTCTAGAGCCCTAATAAAAGGGAAAGCTGTTTCTAAAGAGGCAAGTGAAGCTTTTTCTGCGGACGCGTGCAGGCATGTTTCCTACTACTCCTTTCACTCATTACATTCATTTCATGGCATATGACGAAATATCCAGAGTCGGGTGACTATACGGACAATACCGATCTCGAGTGCAGACATGCTCGTGCCGCATGTGATAATACCGATGCGCACTGCGGAGTACTTAGTCTATTACGGTGATATGTTAGCGGCGGCTGGCCACCCGCAACGGCCAGGCTAGCCCGACGAAGTATATTGCGCGATGTTCGTGTACCAATCGATATGAGGATGTGAAATTTGGGGGTGCGGGGCACCATCATACCTCCACAAAGTCCAAGTTTGGGCCAGACAAGAAATAGATTATTTTTCCATATGAATGCTTTCGTGCCATGCAGTGTGGAGTCGCGATCCTTGAAGACTCAAATCAAGGCTGAGACATGGAGTTGCATTTGATTTTGGCCCTAGCGGCCAAATGGCGCAACGACCACCCACCCCGGCAACCAGGTGTTATGAGAGAGGTGGGCCAGAACTTATCAGGAGCGCTAAATCATTGTTATGCGATTGGCTGCGAATCTTACACTAGTTTATCAAGTGGTCTCACTCAGATGTATCTACCCAGTAGACGGAGGGAGGCAAACCGGAGCCCCAAAAAGGGTCTGAGTCAGGGATGGCGGCCCCGCTTCGCCCACTCTGCTGGGGGATTCTCCCCCTGGGGAAGGGACTTGGAATACTCCGTAAAGTTGGGGAAATTTCGTCCGAGCCCAATCCCCTCGGGCACTATACGAGTCATGGTTTGGGCAGCATTCTGGGGGTAATGGGTCTCAATTGGTCCGTTTAGAGCGAAACTTTGAAGCAAAGAAGCACGGCTACTCTGTAGCATCATATCTTGCTTTATTGGTGGAATATCTGCCTACCATTCATCCTAGCCTGACTTTCATGCAAGATAATGGTTTGGAAATGATGGTATTAGAGTCATGGATTGGCCACCTTATTCGCCTAATTTGAACCCAATTGAACACCACCCAAAGAAGACGCATACGACCACGACCTCGATATCAAGAATGAGATAAAGGAGGATCGTCTCTGGGAGGCATTGCAGGCATCTCGGGCCAATATTGGTTAAGAGATCCAAAGAAATATTTTGGCTAGCATTCCCGCAGAGTGGAGGCAGTAATTGAGGTAAATGGGTGATATACCAAGCATTAGAGCTAGTATAGACTTTATACTATTCCATGGAACTTTTTTGTGGAATTTTTGAATGCCTCCTGGTTGCGAAATATATTATCTATTTCGGGTGGGTGGTCAAACATGGTGGGATTGCCCAGAAACCCTAATGTGCAGTATAATAAACCTATACGGGACCACCCTCAACTACCTACCAATGCCGTCCCAGAACCTGTGCAATTACTGGAGAAATCTCGGGGAAACCGATTAAACCTCCGAAAGAATATAATAAACCCCAGGTTTTCTCGAGCTAGAGAACTCTGGGGGCCTCACCGCAATCGCGACAAGGAAAGGTCTCTCGGTGAAGTGCAAGATAGGTGATCGAGCCCTTGGATCGGGTCTAACATGGATTCATTCTCCTTAGTTTCTTGTCCCTATGCTGGGGGCCAAGAAACAAGTTGCTACCCATCCCCTTAGGCGAGAGACGGCGAAACACTTCCATCGTATGAGTTTATTCAATGGGGTCACTATGTATCCTGTCCCAAATTTCTTCCCCGGAGAAACCACCCCGCCTGAACCACACTAAGGTATAGAGTGGAGAAAGAAACATTCATCTTTCAGCAGCGTGACCAAATCTTAGGAGGTCTGAGGTCTGTAAAATTTATTGCTCTAAAATGAAGATTCAGCTCGTCTGAGGGCCCGAGAGCCTCTACTCAACATTATAAGGGGCAGTACCGCCTTGGAATTGTCTGTTGGAATATCTCTCATCACCAAGCCAGAAGCCGCTCTCCTCAATTCGAATTCGTGTTGACCTTCACAGTCCGTCAGCATGGGTTTCATGATCAAGAAACCGGAAGACACCCCAGGAGCATCCTGGCCAGCAATTGTCATCGGTCTTTTCGTTGCGTTTGGAGGTGTTCTCTTTGGGTGAGTCTGTTCAATCCTCGAGCCCAGGCCCTGGTAAAGTCTAACGAAGATCTCTTCCATGTAGATATGACACTGGAACCATCAGCGGCATTCTTGCCATGCCACACTGGCAAGATCTCTTCTCAACCGGGTATCGCGACAGCACGGGACATTTAAATGTGTCGTCCTCGCAATCAGCTGCCATCGTCTCTATCCTCTCTGCTGGGACATTTTTTGGCGCTCTTGGTGCTGCCCCTATCGCGGACCGTCTTGGACGTCGTTGGAGTCTTATCGCCTCCTCTTTCGTCTTTATCTTAGGAGTGGCTTTGCAGACTGCTGCCACGGCAATACCCATTTTCCTCGCGGGTCGATTCTTTGCCGGATTCGGAGTTGGTTTGATTTCAGCTCTCAGTATGGCTCCCTCGAGCGAGATACCATTATTCTAATAGTGCTAGACTGACTGGTATCGTAGTTCCTCTCTACCAGTCTGAAACTGCCCCACGATGGATCCGTGGATCAATCGTCGGCGCTTACCAACTTTCCATCACCATTGGCTTGCTACTGGCGTCAATCGTGAATAATGCAACCAAGGACCGGGATGACACAGGATCCTATCGGATCCCTATTGCGGTTCAGTTTGCGTGGGCAATCATCCTCATTACTGGTATGCTTTTATTACCGGATACACCTCGCTTTATGATTAAGAAAGGCGATCGGGAGAGTGCCGCCAGGGCCTTGGGCCAACTTCGCCGCCTGTCACCAGAGGACCCAGCTGTCCAGGATGAACTGGCCGAGATTCAGGCCAACCATGAATATGAACTGAGTCTTGGGAAATCTACATATATTGATTGTTTCAGGGGAAATCTCCTCAAACGCCTGGCTACAGGCTGTGCCCTTCAGGCTTTACAACAGCTAACGGGTATCAACTTCATTTTCTACTACGGAACACAGGTCAGTAATGCTATCATTCCGCTCCTACGAAACTAGTACTAGGTTGCTAACAGAGAGGGCTTGGCTTGTACTGCAGTTCTTTAAGAATTCCGGCTTCCATAACTCTTTCACGATTAGCTTAATCACTAACTGTGTCAATGTTGGCTCGACTTTTCCTGGCCTGTGGGCCATTGAGAAATGGGGTCGCCGTCCAGTCCTCCTTTCAGGGGCCATTGGCATGTGTGTGTCTCAGTTCATCGTCGCCATCTTGGGAACGACGACGACCGGTCAAGATGCTACGGGCAATATCATTGTCCATAATGAAATGGCTCAGAAAGCTGCTATTGCTTTTATTTGTCTGTATATTTTCTTCTTCGCCTCCACATGGGGACCAAGTGCATGGTAAGTACAAGTAACCTGACAGTCACTTTGAAGCAAGGGGTTGGCTAATACTATTTAGGGTTGTTACTGGCGAGATCTTCCCACTAAAAGTCCGGGCGAAGTCCCTCTCAATGACTACAGCCACAAACTGGCTTTTGAACTGGGCAATTGCTTATTCAACCCCTTACCTGGTTGACTATGGCCCTGGTAATGCTAACCTTCAGTCGAAAATCTTCTTTATCTGGGGTGGTTGCTGCTTTATCTGTATCTCATTTGTATACTTCATGATCTACGAGACCAAGGGTCTCACACTTGAACAGGTGGATGAGCTGTATGCAGAAGTTAGCTCTGCAAGACACAGCACTACTTGGGCCCCTTCTGTGACTTTCAGAGAAATTCAACAAGGTAAGGGTACTGTAAAGCACGAGGAGAGCATTGCATAGACTAAGGTCTAAATCTATGGGCAGGAAGTTTATGTGATCTAAAGAATAATTGTGATTATTGTATTCAATTTCCAGATTAGCTCTCTGTTGTTAGCCTCAATGAACTGATTCCAGATTCTGTCAAATGAGCATGCTACTAGCAGTCTGATACAGACTCACATCAGTCCCAATCGGGCAATTAGTCCTTCAACCACCAAGCTACGGACATAGTGCTTTAAAAGGCATAATTTACTTTCTCACTTATTTTTGAGTGTTATTTGTATACTTTTACAACCATCTAAGGCATCGCACATAAATAGAGAAAGAAATACTTTTATTAATTTGTTGCATTAGATATGGATTACTACAAAATACCTGCCTTGTGGTTCTTGATAAATATGTTGTGCAATACAAAAGTCGTAACCAAGGAGCCTGGCCAGTGGATACTACAATTATGGTTTCTATAGACTATCGCTTACACCATAACATTAGAAATTATTGGGAAAATATGGACATATATTGGGTAGACATAAATAATATCTCATGATGGCAAAAGCCTCTCAGTTTCAACAACGATTAATTATATAGAAGGTAGTGGCCTACCCCTGTCCACTGACAAAAGGGGCCTACGCTCGCAACAAACAAAATGCTTCGAGATCTTACTGATGAATGCTCTGGAAAATAGTCAATTTGGCGCGAGGTGTATATAAAGATGGGATGTCCTGGACTACCTTCCCAAAATGAGGGCAGTATTGCTGGCGGGATCTAGTAAAATAAAAGCATTCTATACGGAGAGCATATCATATGAAAGCACTAGTCAAATACATGCAATAGGGGACAATTCTAGATACTGATGGTAATATCCCCTAGGCTATCTGAGATCAACTCTACACAGAAGAACACCATAAGATTAAGAAGCAATCAAGAGCTTCTGTTACCTCAGCCCTCAACACACAAGGCGCATCCAAAAACAATGCTCTTGGCACATTTCATCTCCCTAATACTTTTCTACATGTTCCAACGATCAACTCCTTGATCATGTGCAGCAAGCATTCCGAGGTACTATAATGCTAACAGAACTGTCAGCTGCGGTTGCACAACGGTACCTCCTCTAGTAAATGGAACTGGATGCGCAAGCTCCAGATTGCCATTGTTATCCAATCGTCGGAAGACAACCAATTCTCGATCAGTAAGAAGAAAGCCGTATCGTGAATGATGTTGTCTCATATACCAATTGACTTGACTGAGTGCTTGACGATACTCCACACGCGCACCGGTAATCGGATGGGTTTCCAGGGCTGTATTCCATTTCCAAGACGGTTTGATATCACCAGGAGCACGGTTCCAACTCGTGCCAACTGGGGGCGCTAGGGCAAAATAGGCAGTGTCGGCCTTGAAATTGTCAACAAGCTTTGCAGACTCCCCAACATCGAGCGACACCCTTGTCAAGCCCCTCATCTGATCCAATGTTGTCAAGAAGTCGAAACCAGCTCGGAGCCCTCGTCGTACTCTGGGAAAGACATGCTCAGAGATTCTGCTTCTCAGCGAGTTCTCTGCTGTGATAGCGTGAGGTGGCGAAGTTGGCATAGGATCTGGTGGGAGGTGTGCTTGCCCAAGCATATTTCCGTATCTTTGAATGATAGTATCCAAGTTGTATCCTTGCCAGACTGTGGTCTATACCCAACACAATGGCAATGATAATGGTTGGGTTCAGAAAGGAAGATATGTTCAGGTGGCAGTTAGATATATACATATTTGTTAATAACTGCCTTCCTATTTTATGGAAACTAAAGAGGGATACAGATAATACTATCTGGAGGTGGATAATGGGTTATGAACAAATAGTTTAATTAGTTACTGAGAGTGATAATAACTGATTGTTCCTATTCCTAAACAATACTAATACTAATGATGATGATGGATTTCTGTAGGAATGGAGCAGTAGTCTAATTTTAGGCTTGGCGCCTAGACTGAAGAGTTCAAACATCCACATGTTGAAGTAAGTTGTTGATTGGATAACTACCAGAGACTATCTCACGACTCTACCTACCGTGACCCCAGATCATAGCTGATCCGCTCCGGTGAGGATCCTCAGGTTCATCACGTCAGCACCATGTAATCAATATTTTATGTACATCACCAACCTTTTACTTGCAAATAAATCACACCTACTTTTCTGTGCAACAGCAACAAATGTGACTACTAAGTTTAAATTATGATGGAATTTAATAATGTCATCCCTACTGAAATTAACTTTGAGAGGAGACTTTTTAGCTCGGAATTCTCTGTCATATTTCTTGTTACTATCCGTAACCAGAAATGCATTATGAAGGTGGTAAGTTAAGTCCATAGTCTATCGAGTATCATGTCGCTGATATAAGAAGCATCATGGAAGGGGGCCGCGACGGTACTATGAGCCCGAAGACCGTGAATTAGATATTCATGTACTTGAAACCACTGCCTACACCCGTTTAAAAGATAAAGGACTATGTGATCAAGGAATTGTGCCTTATTTCCTGGGTTCTATAAGAAAATTCGATCCATCTTCATGTCAACCTCACCTCAAGATGTTTCTACATGATGAATATCTCCCTAGCGCTCTTTTCTTGGAGTATATACCCAACCTGGAGATGATCCAACTACACAATTATACACAGCAGCGGATGCATAATATTCTTTCCGGTATCCGAGAGATACATAACGCATTAGTACAACATAATGATCCAAAACCAAGAAACATGATGGTTGTTGGCAATGAAAGAGTCGTCTGGATAGACTTTGATCGAGCGGAAACATATGATGAAGAGCAGATTACTGACGAGCAGAGATATCTTCTGCAAGAGGAGGAAGAGATAGTTATTGGTTTCAAGGAATGCATCGTAAGTATACCCGCTAATAAGTATACCTGCTACCATGTAAGTATTTGTCAATTTCTAATTTCAGCTTCAGGAAGCCGATTGCACAAAAGGGAAACTTGACGAAGCATATCTCTTTTACTGTACTTGATAATTTGCTTATCTATATCAAGGAAAAATGCAGGCTGGGTTCGGGTTAGGGGTAGTATTATTGACAATTTCTTCTAAGGAAGCAAGTCAAGTCTTCTTGGACTTGCTTACCTTGGTATGTCCATTCTTCATAGATTATTTCATGCGTGTATTACAAGAAAGGCAAAAACAAAAGTCAGAGTTTATTGTCTATGACAAGCTCTGACCAACCAGTCAAAGGTTCAAATATCTCAAAAAGTTAAAATTTAACAATATTCAGATATCAAAGCTGACAACCCCCTGTAATTAGCAACGAGCAAATAGAATGTCATTATTAACATCGCAGGGTACCTTTGCCTACTACAGGGATATTCTGCTTGCCCAAGTATAGTAAAATAATTTGACTAATGTAAGATAATTTTCATTCAAAAAAAAGAATAAACAAACAAAATCAAATAAAAGAGAAAAATATGTATCTATTCTATACCAAACCCTAATTTGTTTGTTTGTTTTACACCATTATAGTGAGAGGGGGTATTAAACTTGTAGCAGCTGCTGTTGATATTAGGGTTATAGGATTACAACTGGACCATTATAATATTATTGCCAGTAGCAACATTGTAACAGGTATCTCCCAACTGCACGGTGTACACTGTACAAATCCTAAACAAACAGAGAGTACACTCGGTTGAAAAGCTTGCATAATACACAGGGAGATCATTGTTCACAAGCAACCAAAATATTCCAATTCCTTGCGACAAGCTAATGCTGGATAGTATACGTGGTGCCACTGCAATTGGCCGAGGTTGAGGTAGCGGAGCTCAAGCCGAGACTAGGTGAAGCATGATATTAAATACTGCGCCCGGACCTAGTAGTGAACTATAGAAGAAGGGTTCAAGGACTTATAATATAGTAGTAGTATTTACTATAGGCAGCAGGGTATATCCTGTATATGAATACTAAGAGGTATAGCTCTGAAAAAGGCTCTGGGACCAGACGAGTATTCCATTGCTATACTTAGAAATTACCTTGTTATGCAAATCTCACAAATATCAGTCATTATAAATAACCATCGTGGTGGAATTATCAGTTAATAATGCAGTCAGGTTCCCAAGAACCATATTCCAGTACAGAGTAGTGGCTACTGCTCACTAAAAAGGTTTGGTTAAAGTTAAACAAGACTAGGCTAAAAGTGTCTCATAGTAGGAGAATGGCCCCCGTGTTGTCAATATAGGTCATCTGATTTCAGGAACAGAAAACATCCTATTCCTATTTCACCATGGCAGCATTGCATTCTAATGAGCAAAAGGATTTCAGCATCATTTGATTATTAGTCTCGCTCGCGTCAAAAGCCGCCACAGTAGAACTATATGCCATGATATCTGTTGAAAGAGCTGCACCAGAGACCTGCATATAATTAACCACGGACGATGCTTGAAAGAGTACAAAGACATCTATCCGATGGAAAGTATATATAAAACCCAGAAGATGGAGGAGAAGCATGTTCTAGCGGCAGGCTGATGATATCTATAAGCCCCTAGGCATTATTACCAGTCTCTTTGCCTGAAGGGCTATTAATCCCTAGCTCTAACTATAAAAGAGCACCAAGGATTGAAGTGTGTGGAGAAGGGGTGTTCTTATATGTAATCTAAGATATCTGTAGAGATAAAATTAAGGAGGTATATTAATCCTTGAACTAGTAGGGAGGGGAATTTATAGCTGTGATAATAATTATTATAATATTAGGATTAAAGCAGAGTTGACAATAGCTACTTTAGTGAAGGGGGAATCTGCGCACCTATATAAGTTTACTATTTAGCTGATTTATGGATATCCATGCCCACAGAGTGTAGGTATAAAAGATAGCAGGCATTTTGCTACACGCCTGAGAGCAGAGAGAGTCCATTCTTACCTGCTTCCCTAAAATATATGTTCTTAAACCCTCCCGGGCCTGATATATTAACTAGATCTGATCTTTAATCTAGAAGCCAACAACAGTTGGGGAATGGGAAAAGCAGAAAGGAAGGATAACTGTAATATAAGTTTATATTTATACAGGATCTGCGCATGATTCCAGTTACTAAATCCTATGAATAAAACTAGAATATATCTTTTAGGTTTGTTATAGTCACTACACCCACTGAAGTCTTGGTAAACCTGGACAAGGGGAATAGGACTCCATGGGAAGTATTTAATTCACTAGACTTGGAGAGTAAGGATGACCATATAGTCTGAGTTGTTTATATAGATCTGTCCCCAAACTATGGATTTGATAATATATATATTGGTGACGGAGTTCCTGGCAAGATTCTGCAAATGCTAGCTAGATATAGCTCGGGAAATATGCATTGGCTAAGTATATAAATCTATCCTAAGACTAAGTGTTACCCAATTATATTGCGCGAGGATTAGATCTAGCTTGCGCTAAGGTGTTTGAATTTAAGTTTGACTACGATTTTTGTTGGGTACCCCGAGCCTAGGCGGGTTGACTTCAGCAACGAAGACGGTTGCTGGGATATGGTAGTGGACCGACCTGGTCAAACAAAGAAGAAGTAGTGCGATCTCAAGGAGGTCCGCGGGAACCAGAAGTGGTGGCTTGAGGAAGAATGGCTCGAGGCATATTATAATGGGGGATTTTCTTGAGAGGATTTGCACCGGAGAGGGAGGGTTTGGCAGTAATATTATCCTGTGGTTAGCTAGCCTGGTTGGTATTGGGCAGGCGGAGGCAACCTTGAAGTTAAGCTATTATATGTTGATGAGACCCCCTAGATTATATTAATGGATAAATAGCATGGCCCATGTCCTGTTGGAGCGAGTTTAGTAAGTAAAACCGACTCTGATACCTGGATTCAAGAAGATCGTAGAGATGATACTGAACCTAATTGAAGGTAGAAGCAAGTATTCGCGCTACCCTTGAGGCGAACGTGTAATTGGATACATCTTTTGTTATTATAATTATTCTTATATTCTAGATCTCAGCAAATCCTATCTGTATTTTAATAATAAGGGCAATATCAAGCCATAGTTCTAAGTAGATGCCGTCGCTTCGGTCACCTGGAATTCCGGGGATATCAAGCCCGATGGGCTTGATAACTTCCCAGGGGCCACCTTTCGAGTTCCCGGTATGTTATATCTACTTACTATGCACCCTGATCCACAACGCTGACCAAGGAATCCAGATAGGTGTCGTTATAATCGGACTAAATATGGCAGTTTATGTGTCAGCTAATATCTCTATAATGCTTTCTGCGCATCTCCAGGCGGAGGTCAATAGTATGTCTTAGAATATCAGCAAACATACCACCAAATAGACCAGTATCCGACATCTGTACTCCGTACTTGATTTCCCTAAACACGACGGGACGCAGGCTCTCGGAACCCCTTTGATCTTAGCCTCAGTCAATACCATCAGAGAACTAGCGCTTCATCTCAAGCCCACGGTAACCTTTGGGATTGTGTTTGACTCTCGATAGGAGATTTTCCATGCGGAGAGAGCTCTCTTAACTGACTAAGATAATTCCCGTCCCTTTAGTTACCTATAGCATTGGTTCCGGAGTCAACGTGGGCGGGCAACTCAATGCACCCACCTTCTACAACTGGGGTGGAACCATACAGGTCCCTATTGCCAGCGTGCCTCGCAAGCAAATCATGCTGGATACCTGTGCTGGCTCGAGTACCCTATCCAAGAGAGCCGTGGAGCTTCTGGACGGGCCCGTGAATTAGTTGATACAAGCAATCTCTACTCTACCCGGCTTAAGATAAGCATATGGTACCTATTTTCTTTGGAGTAAATGAATCAGCAGGCTGGAGGGATGCATAATCTGGGTTGGGGACGAGACAACATAACATACAAGCAAGACTCGCCCTTGGGCCCACAAAATACGCCTCACTCCTGTCGGGACGCGCATTCTAGCTCCCGTTGGTAATAAGTAGTTCAGCTTGTTAAGCGCTTACTGGTATTCAGAATTGATAGCATGCTATTAGAGAAGTCTTTTATTTAAAAAATAAACCGATCCCTGCCAGTAATGAAGTGGTCCCTTTATTTTTTAAGCTATAAAGTCTCCTTGCTTCCCAAGCAATGTTAAAACTCAGATCCTCCAATTTTGATCTGCATCGATATATTCGAATCAATCATTCGTGAGATAAATAGGATGCCTTGGAAGACTGTCCTTAGCGAGCTTTCTCAAGCCGTCCGAAACAATGTTGACAAGATCACGAGAATTTTGCCAGACAACTTGACCACCCGGAGCAATGCTGTTAAAACGGTTGACCTACGCATAGACGTTCATCAAGATTCAAAAAATCCAAATAAAGCTGTCGCGAAAGTCCAGGCCAATGCACAGGCCAACGACAGCGCTGTCAAAGATTATATAAAATCTGGGAACAAGGGTGATAGTCACAAGGGAACGCACAAGAATATCACCCAGATACCCTTTGATCGCACCTCCTTCGACATCGAAGATTTCATTTCGAAAATCGAGAATGTGCGCAAATAGTCAGTTTCTCGATTGTGACGGCACTAATTCATTTCATCTGGAGCTATGGACAAGGCTTGCCGTCTAATAAACTCGTTTCAGGAAGACCCCAGTTCTATTAAGCGCCTTACGAAAATACATATATATATATAGAGAGAGAGTTACGGTATTGAGCGGAAGTGGCAAGAAGTGAGGGAGTTAGGAGAAAAGGGTGATCAAGTAAGATTAAGTTGTTTGATAAGGCCAGGCAAATCATCCTGATTCTTGTTGAATAGGAACAGACAGATAATAAGCGAGTGTCTGCCTTACTTACAAACCTATATTGGAGTTCCATGATACCTCTCAGAACCCAGTGGTATCCAACCACATTTTAAAAGCCTAGTATTTGATACTTGATACTTTTACCCCTCTCGCAATATTTCTAATGACACAGCAAACAGGAAAGACGGCAACCAGGGCTAGGATATGCTCCAACGGTCTAGCCAGGGCGTACCTATTTGTCAGCGCCTTGCTTGGTCAAGCAACCATCATTTAGTTAACTATTATTTCCTATACATATTAGTTAGACTGTTGCCCCTAGTTTTTGCCATAATTAGAAGACTCAGACATTCATCCCCAAACAACAGAATACTAGCTATTTTACTAAGTGATCCATTTGATAACTAGTTAGTTAGTTAACTAAACTAACTAACTAACTATAAAATTAATAGACTAAATATAACCAGAGTGAAGCCTGTATAAAAAGTACATTATTGGTGCAAAACTCACAGACCCACCTGCGTGTCGGAAATATATTCTCCCGGGAAGGGCTTCCTTAAGGCAAATGAAACAGTCTACTACCTTGCCGACGACAACTACTAACCTCGATGACTATGATTAAACTCTCCAGGAATCTTTGCAAGCTTGGTGAACGAAAAGTATATGCAAAACTTGGTTTTCCATTCTTTTCCCAGAAAATGAGATTATTTTCATATTTTCGGCCGGATGGGCGCCAGGCCATAGCTTGTAATCCGGAGATTTACCTAGAAAGACAGAATGGCCCAGGTAAGCTTTTCCAGGAATCATTGCATAGATTAAGCATGTTAAGTGATTGATGCTATTTTCATAGAACAAATAATCCTAGAAAAAGACTTGTACCGATATACCAGACACCGATGGCTGTAAGCAAATTGGCTTGTTATCTTTGTGCAGCGGCTTATTCATGCCCAAATCCAGATTTAATGAAGAAAGAGAACTTTCAAAACGCTATCTAAAATTTAATTTACAGCAACTCCTTAATGTCGCAATTAATGTTTGTGATGGAGCCCAATATTGTGTGTTCTGGTCCCTATTGAGATAGCGAGATTCAATTGCTAACTCCATTCAAGGCACCAGAATCACCAAATGTGTGGAAGGTCTGCATAACAAAGCCTTTGTATTGAAAATGGATAATGGGTCAGAGGTCTTTGCAAAACTCCCAAATCCTAACGCCGGTCCCGCGCATTTCTCCGTTGCCTCCGAGGTCGCCACACGTGAGCTGGTAAGATGTTCGGTGCCAGTTAGCCATTAAAATTACTAAATTTGATAGCTTCGTGATGTGTTCGATATCCCTGTCCCTCGGGTATTGTCTTGGTCTTCCGATGCAGCAAGTAATCCAGTCGAGGCCGAATATATTATTGAGGAGAAGGCCCCTGGCGTACGACTAGGTTCTGTCTGGAATCAATGGCCTCGAGAGCTGAAGCTGCAGCTAATAACTCAAGTGGTGGAGCTTGAGAATAAATTGACCACCATTAGCTTTGACAAGCACGGTTGCATTTATTTCAAAGAAGACTTGCGCTCCCTTGTTGGAGAAGCGGAAGATATTCATACACGCACGGTTAAATCTGACTTCCTTGAACGATTTTCCATTGGACCGTTAACCACAAACGAATTGTGGAGTGAGACTAGGAAGGATATGAAATTAGATTGTGGACCTTGTGAGTAGGTAAATTGCCGGATCCCTGTTCTGTTATCTAATATTCCCTCTCTCCTGCGCAGGGAAAGATGCCCTTGAATACAATCGTGCAATCGGCCGTAATGAAATCACATGGATCAAGAGACATGCTATTCCTCGCATGAACTATTACCAGCCGAAACCAAACAAGGAACTTCCTGAAGATGGTATCTCACTCTTGGAGAAATATATGGACATCTCCCCCTATCTTGTCCCCCAGCCAAACGACAGACTGTCTTCTGCCAACGTTCTTTGGCATCCGGACCTTCACCTGGATAACATTTTCGTGGATCCAGATGCTTGTCGGATCACCAGCATCGTGGACTGGCAGTCAGCGTGCGTTGCTCCTTTATTCTACCAATCTGGTATCCCTAGAATGTGTAGACACTCTCGACCTGTTCGGAAAGGTTGGGTCGTCCCTGAACGGCCAGCAGATTTCGAGAGCCTGAGTAAAGAGGAGCAGAAGCGGATTGATGATGAGTTGGAGAGCGAAACCATCCATAAATACTACGAGGCGCAAGTATATAAGCGAGCGCCTCTTCATTGGGCTGTACTCCAGCAACCAGCAATCCCTATCCTCCGGAAGCCTGTTTGGCTCGTGAGCGGAGTATGGGAAAACCGCGACCTGTTCTTTCTCCGTGAGGCACTCATGAACATTAAAACGCACTGGAGCGAGTTTTTCCCAAACATCACTTGCCCGATAGATTTCAGCAGCGAGGACATCGAGCTCCAGTCCAAGGAAGAGGAAAGCATAAAAGGAGTGGGGCATATATTGTTACTGTTCCGAGAGCAAGCTATACTCCCTGTGGATGGGATGGTTGAGCCGGAAGACTATGACCTGGCCTGTGACAACAATCGTAAGTTCAAAGATACCTTTATCCAGTTGGCGAAGGACGAAGAAGAACAGGAGCTGTTCAGGAATCTATGGCCATACCAAGAGCCTGGGGATATCTGAGATTCGATGGTATGTTTATAAGGTATTTAGTGAAATTTAAATTATTCTAAATAGAATGTGCAGAATATAGTGACAAATGCTCCTTAAATACCCTTGTTCAAGGATAGTAGTAACTAAAAATGATTCGCCAGGTAGCCTATATTACTGACGCGATGCATGTGAGGATCCTTACCAGAGCAGATTATATAGGGTTTGTATACTTCTGAGTATATTGCAGGGCTTACAGAATATTAGGGTTAGATTCTCCTATCCAGCAGTATGTTGTAACACAACAGTCTTCATTCTAATAGAATTCGGGGAGGAGGGCGAATAAAGTAAGATAAAAGGAGGGAGTTAGTACTAAGATAAGAGAAGGTTTATTCAATAATTTTCCTTGCTCTATTTGATATAGAATAAAATTTCAGGTAGTTAATATTATAAAGTATGAAGAGCCTTGATTTGATTGAAGCATATATTTCCCCTACATGTAAATATATCTCAGGGACTCTTCCATAGAAGTCTTTATCATTTACCTCCAAATAAGTGCATATTGAAGATGTTCAGATGGCTGAAGCTAGGTAGGGACGTCATTTCAACCCCTGCTATTTGTTGGCTTGACACTATTAAGAAAAAGTTTAACTTGCTATTTAATTCCATTTATATTAGATCTTCTGCCGGAATCTCAGCTGCAGTAGAGCTAATGATACCTTTTATTTCTATTCTCTTTATATTGGACGGTGTTTCGATAATTTTCTAAGGACTTCTCCGCATAGCTATAGAGTATATTCCACATTGTACTATACTATTAGAAGAGGCTTTTATTTTAGCTGATACTTAGTCGCGCAATCAACCTGACGGGCGAGGATCCTGATAAATCAACTTAAACTCATCGTGGTATTAGGCTGCTGTCGGATTTGCCTTGCTTGTTAAGATTCAAGCTGTTATATCAACCATCAATCTGTTAGGTTTATATATAACAGCAAAATCACAAATATATTAATACTTTGGCTTCATAAGCTACACTCATAACAATCTACATGTCAAACCCAGTGCAAGAACCAAAAATATGGAAAGGTAACTAAAATTAGGGTTATAGGTCATAGGATCAAGGGAGGCCGCCTGGAATGGATTTTCTGTTTGGACTTGCATTAGTTGCAGTAGTCGTGTCTGCTTGCTTCTTGGTCAGCCAGATTTAACTAAACTTTAAAAGTTGAAGACCAAGCCGAACATTTATATACATCTGCGCGTATCTAGATATTATCCCAATTATTCAGTACACGTTCCTCTCCTTCTTCCAACTTTCGCTGAACAAAGGGCCCCATGGCGTCCTTATCCTCGACACTCAAGTATGCCAGCCTCTTCTCTGTACATAGTAAAGACTCACGTTTGCTAAGAGGTGTGTCACCACCAAAAAGCCTTGCATCCATCATCGGCCAAACATCATCGAAAGCCCAGCTTTTACGTAGGCCATAGTGAAGCCAAAAATCTCCACTAGCCCAGCTTTCCTTCATTCTCCCAGAAAGCCGCTGCGCCTCTGTCAAATCACCACATGCAATAGAAGCATCCTCCTTGTTTTTAAGTGCTCGAAGAAACGTCTCTAGTCGGGGTTGATAGTGTTTTTGCCAATCGAACACTCCCGCAGGCCATTCTTCGGGCATCTGTAGTAATAGCCACCAGGGAGGAGAGAAAGTATATTCAAGAGGAGCAGCATATGTAAATTCCCAGTCAATGATCGCAACAATTTTCATATTCTGGTCAAGCAAGATATTTGAGGGACGAAGGTCATCGCAGAAGAGTTTAAATGGGCCAGAGTCAGCACTAATTCCAAGACCCTGAGACTCTGCTAGATTGCAGACTATTTTTCTTGCAGTATATTTTGCATTGCAATCCTCTATGGAACTGAAAGCATCGTTTCTTTGGGTCTTTAAATGCAAAAACTGGGTCTCAGCAAGAGCTTTGTTGTATGAAGATGTGGTTGCAAAGGTGGTTTGTGGGAGCATGGATGGTGGAAAGTTGCCTAACTGTACCAGCTCATTCATGTTCAGGGTCAGTGGTCTCACAGTTATTGCTCCATCATTATTTGTCATGCAACCAATTGATTCAAAAGAAGGCTTAGAGAGCTCCAAAAGAATACCCGCCACTTGGCTATAAAAATACTCAAGTTTGGACTCTTTAATATTTGGGTCCAAGAAAGGGCGATCACTTCTCTCATAATCTGGGGCACGTAGCGGCGTTGTAAGGTTGGAAAAATGTGTGATGTAATCCATCAAAATGAACGGGCCTAGGTCTGCAGGACTCTGATCCCTCATCCCATAGCTGATAATGCCGGGAACAGGAATCTTCGTATGTTTCTTAAGGTAGGTCATTATAGCAACCTCATTTCGAACTTTTTCTTCCGGAAATTTGACTTGACCAGGGCAAGGGAAGCGTAATAAAAAAGAAACATTATCTTCAAAGATTAACTGGAAGCAAAGATTAAATGAACCCATTCCTATAATCCGGGCACGGTCGGTTGCTCTTCCCCCAGGTCGATGGCTTTTCATGAAATCGGTAACCTGCAGGAGAACTTCTGGTTTCACGACTTTAGCCTTGAATTCCTCAAGCAATTTCTCGCAAGCATCCCAGGCAACATCGTCGTGGAACATTTTCATTTCCGCTGGTTGGGGTTGGAGTTGGAAGTCAAAAGTCGATGTTGTCTAAATTTAAAGGATAGTTAACTGGTTAGTTACATTGTCGGATATATGATGATCCTAGGGGTAGCTCAATGGAAGCAGGTGATCGGATGAATTGATATATGGGCTTACAGCTCGGCATGGGTAGAAAAAAACTCCGCGTGGGTAGAACTCTAGAATAGATTAACTCTTGGCATGGGTAGAGATTCTACCTATAATAAGGTTGGCCTATACTAGCTCTACCTATAATAAGCTATTTATCTAACTATAATAAGATCTTATTTAAAATTACTTACTATTATACTAAAATTTACTATTATTATTTTATATTATTAATATAAAGACTAATTTTAGTTAAAAAAAAAATAATAAATAATACTAGTATTAAAATTATTATTATTATAATTAATTTTTATTAAATATATATTTATTACTAGTATATTAAAAGTAATAAATATTTTATTTATATTAAATTTATACCTTAATAATAAGAGATAAGCTTATTATAGATAAAGAATTAATTTCTACCTATAATAAGATTAAACTATACTAGCTCTACTTATATTAAGGTCTAGAGTTTATTATAGGTAGAACTAGCACCATGCTAGTTCTACCTATATGGAGTTTTTTTCTACCCACGCCAAGCTGTATCCCCTTGATATATATATATGTTAGGGGGGTTGTGTACTTACATAAGGCCTTAATATAGGGTTTTAACCCCCCTTTACTTATTAAGTATATTATAGGATACCCCTTTAATTTAATATACTTCCTTAAGTTTAAAGAATTTTATCTAGTTTAAACCTATAATTAAGTAATTTAAGATACTATCTTTATGTAAGCATCTCGCTGGCGAGGCGCTTGGGTATAGATAGTGTTGGTAAAGGAAGCAAAGCTACACATAGTACAAGGATAGTAGGAAGGTATTAGAAGTAATAAAATAAAGTACTTGCCTCTTAGTATTTTAGGGGGTTATTATATTATTATTTATATTATCTAGTTAAGTTACTAATATAGTATAGGTAAGTTAATTATTATTATTCTTTTAAATATTTTTAATTACTTAGTATATAATTTAATATATAATTATATATTATATAATTATTATAATAATTACTTTTTCTTTCTTTAATAGTATATTTATATACTATATATACTATACCTAATCTAGATTAGTATCCTATTAAGAGAGAGCTAGTCCTAGTTAGTATAATATAATCTATTTTTTTATTTAATATTAAAGATAATAATAATATATATAATATTATTTTTATTAATTATACTTTATTAAATAAAATATAAATAATATTATATTTTACTTTAAATAAAATAATAAATAAAAATAAATAATTTACTAAATATACTAGTAATAAATAAAGATATTATTATAATATAAATATTATAGGAAAATACTTCTTTATATATATATTTCTTAATTTAATCTATATTTTAAAAAGTCTTTTTTAATAAGTTAATATATTATTCTAGATAGATTATTATTATTTATATATTATAATAATAACTAATTATTTATAGATCTTATAATTTTTTTTAAGTATTTTTTATTAAATATTATACTAGCTATATTCTTATAAAAAAAAGTCTATTTTACTACTATTATTTCCTTTTTTATAAATATTTTTATTCTAGTAATATAAGTTTATTATACTAATTATTTATAAATTCCTATATTAAATCTTTCTATATTTATACTAATTATAGTACCTATAATCTTTATTACTACTAGTATATTTCTTATAATTCTTATTATTATTATTTTATTATCTAGCAGGATTATATTCCTTATATCCTCTATAGCTATAGCTACTCCTAGTATTATAGTAACTCCTATTACCTCTCTCTCTACCTCTTCTACTATAATAACTCTAGCTACTCCAGCTACTATTATTACGCCAGCTCCTATTATTATGCCAGTCCCTATTATTCTTATTACTACTATAGCCCTAGCTACTCTAACTATTCTAACTACCTCTACTAGCTTGGCTGCTATTATATGGATACTATATTACCTATATTATACTAAGTCTTAATAGTATAAAGATAATAATCCTATAGAAGCCTATTCCTATATATATTTAAACCTAAGATAGTAATATATTTAATATATTTACTTATATAAAAAGTACTTCTTTATTATCTTACTTATATATATTAGTCTTAAGAAGATTTAGATAATATTTAGTAGAATAATAAGTATAGTAGTCTATACCTAATAAATCTATACTATTAAGATTTTTATTTATTTATTACCTTAAGACTAAGGACTAGATAAAGTAATTATTATAATCTATTAACTATAACCTATTTTACCTACTTAATATATAGCATGTTAAGAGTAGTATAATAGAGTTAAAAAATAATAATAAAAAAGTTTAAAATAATTATAATAATTAAAGAGTTTACTAATATTATAATACTAGTATTTATTATTTTTATTCTTTTATAATAAAATTAAATTATTTTCTTAAAATTTCTTAATATTTATAGTATACCCTTATTAAATCTTAAAATTTAGTAAGAAAAAGAGAAAGAATAATATTATTAATATATTTTTATAATCTTTTTAATTTTTTAATTCTATTAATCTATTATTTTTTATATTTTACTTATTTATAATATTTTACTAGTACCCTACTTATATCTTATTTTTATAGTAGTGTCATGGAGGGCAGGCGGGCAGTAGGTGTAGCTAATAGTAGGGTGTATATTCAGGCTATCTATATACAAGTATAATAGGTAGGAGTTAGGTCAGGATAAGAATATAGCTTAAAGAGCTATAATAAGATTAGGAGTAATATAATTTAAATATAGAAATAAAGATAGATAATTAAGGTAGTGTCACGGCAACCACGTGACATGCAACCACATGCCGAACCACATGCTGAACCATATACCCAGTAACTAAGGGTAATCAGGAGAATAGTAATATTTGAGTTGCCTATACTATACTAGTAACTTAATTAGATAATATAAATAATAATATAATAACCTTTAAAATATTAAGAGGCAAGTACTTTATTTTATTACTTTTAATATCTTCTTATTATCCTTATACTTTATATAGCTTTACTCTCTTTATTAATATTATTTATACCTAAGTACCTTACTAGTAAGATACTTATAATTTAAAGTACTTCCCTAATTAAGTAAAATAATATAATAAGTATAAGAAGGACTACTTACTCTTCCTTTTAAGAAATAATAGATCTAAATTTTATAAAATCTATAACTATAGTTCTAGAAATTATTATTAAGAAAGGTTTAATAGTACTAGTAACTCTCTAATACTAACCTATTAAGTTAATAAAAGATAATAAGCTATAATATATAGCCTAATATATAGTATAAATTATATAAATAGGTAGGGAGAAAGTGCTTAAATCTAAGTTCTTTAAGATATAAAATCTAAAGAAACTTGGTATCTTCTTAAAAGATCTCTAAAATTACTTTAGATTATAGGGAAAACTTTATAAGAGTAATATAGTTAAGATTTATTATATTATAGATTATTTAAAAAATAATATAAAGTAAGTATAATACTTTAAGTATAAAGTAAATTCTAAAGAACTTACTTATATAAAATTTATTAAGTTCCTGTAGAACTTTCTAAAATTAAAGAAAGATTATAGATAGATAATAGTTTACTAGCTCCTATATATAAAATAAGGACTATAATAGAGTATATAAATCTTAATAATTTAGATAGAAAAATTTATTCTAATAATTAAAGCTAATTTTAAAAGATTTCTCTACTAGCTAGCTATTTAAATAGCCTAGCCTGAATTATATAAAAAAATCTAGTAAAATATAATAATATTATAAAATCTAGCTAAAGTTACTAAACTAGAAGTAAGATATAAGAAACTTTAGAAATAAAAGAAATAGGAAAAATTAAATAAGATATAACTAAATTAATCCTTAGGATCTTATATATTGAAGAATAACTTAAGAAAGAGAAAGAAAAATAATAATAAAATAATAAATTTTTAACTAAATAAATTCTAGTAGAAAGAATTAAAGAAGGAATAATAAAATTACTAGAATTAATAAAAAAAAGGCTAATATTATTAGTATAATTAAATTAATTATATTATAAAAAAATATTCCTAGTATAGAAAAGGTATTAAGGGGATAGAAGAATTAGAGAATTAAAATTAATAATAATTAAATATTTTAGAATTTCTAGTACTCTAATAAAATAAAGAGGTACTAGTAAGATTTTTTCTAGTTATTATAGCTATTCTAGTAGGTAAGAAATAGGTTATAATAAGGGTACTTATAAATACTAGAGTAAATAAGAACTTTATTTCTTATTATTTTTTAGCTAAAGAAGGAATAAATCTTAATAAAATAAAGATAAAATAATTTATATATTTTATTAATAACTTAATAATATTATACTATATAAGATTTTAAATAAAGAGTTAAATTATAAATAGCCTTAATAAAATTAAAGAATTTAATATAGAATATTATATAATAAATTTAGAAGAAAAAGAATATTAATTAATTCTAGAATATAATTAATTAAGCCTAGTTAATCTTAATATCTCTTTAATAGTAAATATCTAGTACTACTAAGAAAAGAAATTAAAGATTAAAATTAAATTATCTAAGTAATTTAAGAGTATAATAAGATAAGGATTTATTATATTAATCTTAAGCTAATTATATAATAATAGTAGTATAATAAGGGCTCTCCCTAAATATTATAAAGAATAAAAATTAGTATTTTTAAAGAAAGAGGTAGAAGTACTTCTCTTTAAAAAAGCTAGTTATAATATACTATTAATTACTAGTATAGTATTATTAATAGGCTAGCTATATAATATATTAAGAATAAAGTTAGTAATCTTAAGGGAGTATATTAATTAAATATTAGAAAAAAAATAAATCTAGCCCTTAATAAGTATAATAGGCATGCTAGTACTTTTTATATAAAAGATTAATAA